AGCTGAAGCAGGGAACTGCTAAGGCAGCTGCACCCTGGTCCGACCATCAGAAAACAAGAGACCCGAGAACACGAGAGGCGAGGCTCACTGAGCCATATATCCCTCCGCCCTTCAATTAACCCCAACATGTGTTTATCAGCCAGGTTGGCACAATAAACTATCTCAATATATAAAAGTGGTTAGTAAATTGTAAAATATTCTACACACTTAAAATTTTTCCCCTCTTTATTTTCAGTGTTTCTTATTGATTGAAGTGAAATAGCATGATGCTAATATATTTGATAAAGAATTGAATGTTTTGTAATAACAATATTTTACTTTTAAACGTGCTTTTATAAAAAATGACTATGAATGAGATCTGGTTCTGGTGACTTTTACTTGGGCGTAGATGGGCAGATTTTGCTACGTAGAGCCTTACCCGTCTCTTTTCCATTGTAGGTTGACTGTGCATTGTCACTTATTCGGCTTGGAATGGAGCGCAATATTCCTGGTTTGCTGGTTCTGTGTGACAATTTGGTTACCCTGGAAACATTGGTTTATGAAGCCGGATGTGACTTAACCCTAACCCTGAAAGAACTCCAACAGATGAAAGACTTTGAGAAGCTAAGACTGCTGATGGAGAGTGTAGGTTTTATCTTGTCTTTCTTTTTCAGCATTCCCTGTGGATTTTGGATTTGCATGTGTTTGAGATTAACCTGCCTCCAAATTTGGGAATTTAGTAACTATAGGAACGTTTCCAGACTTTTTCTCTTTGTGGAGTTATCAGTCTTGTGAGAGGCTGTATAGATAAACTACTGAAATCCATGCAAACTATTTTTGTATTGTGCTTGCCCTTTCTTCTGACCCATCTATACAATGCACACACCCACAAGTTTTATCTAGGCCTATTGTTCAACTACCTGGTTATTCTAGTAACTCTATTATTATTCTTCACTATGTTAAACATTTCTAGCTATATGTATAGTTCAAGGAGTTCAAAAACAAAAAACAACAAAAACTGAAGTCCAGAGGAGGGTTGAGTGGTTGTGAAATAAGACATTTTTATTTCAGGGCTGGTGTGTTTAGAAGAGTATCCCCACTATTCTGAGATCTTTCTTGGGCCAACCTACAATTTCTCTTAGTTCATGGCGTCTGTGGGGCCCACGGAATACTTTGCAGAGGTGCTAGCTGTCCAGCAGTGTTCTTTCCATGGGGGGCTCTGCACTATCTGTTTCGGGGGCTGCGTGAGGGTGGGGGTCTCAGCTGCTGGGTGTGCTCTCTTCTCCCTGCACCTTTCCTCTGTACCTCGGTTTCACACGCTTCTTTCTCTGGGCTTCATCCTCCTCCCTCATCACTCTCGTCCCATTCGTTTGTCCCTCTCCTCCCTCCTTGCGTCATTACTGCCCCGCTCCTCATTCGCCTCCTCTTTTCTTGTCAAAGCAGAACTGCACCCCGCAGGGTTTTCCATGCTGGACTTTTGGGAAGTAGATCACCAGGCCTTTGTTTTTTAAAACAGAAAAATTTATGTTTTAAAATTGGGAGTTAATACAGATATCGTTCCAAACTTCAGTCACATCAAGCAGTATTGTACAATTGCTATCACAATCAGTTTCCAACATTCTTTTCCTTCCTGGACTTTTTCATATCATTTCCCTTCTACCTCTCCTCCCTCACACCACCACCACCACTGTAACCCCCCAAAGCAAACAAACAAACAAACACACACACACAACCCTTACTCTGCTTGCTATCCCTATGGGTTCATCAATCTTGTTTTGAGGTGCTTCTGGGTGAACTCAGACTTTTGCAGCCTTTTAGTTAGCAGCTAAGTTCATTAGCCTTTTATATCAACCATGGAATTGGGCCCAGTAGCAGCGCTGCAATACATGGCACTTCTTTTAAGAGGTTTTTTCCCCTCTTAGCGTAATTTTAAAAGGGAATGTGTAATTTTAGAGATGCCCTTGTTGTCGTTGTGTGCTGTTGACTTAGTTCAGACCTAGAGAAACCCTGTGTATGACAAAGGGCATGCTGCCCAATCCTGCACCAGCTCCACCGTTGCTGTCACGTTTAAGCCCATTGCTTTAGCTGCTCTTGATCCCATGCCCCTTCATCTCCGGGGACTTAATTCTTGGTAGAATGACCATGATCATTTATAGTTTTGTAAAGGTGGGTGTGAAAAAGCAGAACAACACAAAGTGGAAAAGGACAGGAGAAAAACTGGGCTGCCTGGTGAGACAGCACCTCTCCCGTGGTCCCTCTTTTGTGGGTGCATCATTGGGCATGCCTGTTCCTGCCGCTCTGCTTCCGTTTCTCAGTTGGTGTGTGGTCTGCCCTCCTGTACACGTGTGTGCATTTTTGGACAGAACTTCTCTTTTCCCTGAAGGACCTCATGAATGAGGAGGGGTGCAATGTCTGTCTCCTAGAGGAGAGTCTCAGCTGTTTGGGACCATCAGCAGACTCTAGAACTGGGGCGGGAAACAGCCAGCCACAGTGCTGCTGCTCTCACGGCAGCCCCACGCTAGAGAGGAATCCGCTTGCCCCCCCTCCCCCCCCACGTTTGCAAGTTTATATGTGAGTGATGAGCTGGAGGGTTTGTTTTGAACGCCATTCTTTTTGTGAGCCTTAGGATTTGCTAGATGATGTAATAACGTACTTTAATGCTCTGTTTGCTGTGGTTCATTTTATCTCAGTGCTCAGAAGATAAGTATGTGACGAGTGCCTATCAGTGGATGGTCCCTTTCCTTCACCGCTGTGAGAAGCAGTCTCCTGGTGTCGCCAATGAACTGTTAAAGGAATACCTGGTAACGTTAGCGAAAGGAGACTTAACATTTCCTCTGAAGATATTTCAACATTCCAAACCAGATGTAAGCAGAAATGCTTAACTTCTTAAAAATATCTGTACATTTTTCCTACAAAATTTTGATTTGTTAATGAAATATTTACAAGTTCATGGAATTGTTTATTTTGATTGATTTCATCCAAACTTGGTTCAATATGTACTGTATGTTGGAACCTGGTAATAGCAAGAGAATTAAGAGTTGGTAGATAGGGGAGTTTGTACCTCAGGCCGGTACTTTACAAGTGTTAGCTTTAAAAATTTTTATAACAGTTTTATGAGGTTGTTGTTACATAATATCAAGTTGACTCTTACTCACACAATCTTATTTTAACCACAAAAATATTGCCCGTCTTGCATCATCTTCATTATAGTTGATGTCTAATGAGGCTGATGTAGTATTTTAATATTACAGGAAACGAAAATGGTTGTATAGTGTGACCCAAAGTCACACAATATGTGGATGGACCTGGATTAAAACATATAGGCATTCTTGATTTACAGATTGTATTTTTATCCACTATGGAGACTCTCTACCATAAATAGGAGAAGATATATGCACTCAAATATCTTTAAAGAAGTTGTAAAAATCTTTATGTTCTCATAGGAGATTTTTTAATGAGATTTAACAATTCTTATATTTGTAGCTACATATTTCTGAGAGAATGAATTTAATGGATGGAACAGCCATTTTGTTAAGTGCTGCATACTTTTTCAAAGTCAACAATTTTTGGGGTTTAACTGTAGATAAACGTGTGATTTAAAGAGACAGTAGCTCCCGTAGTCTTAGAAGGGGACTCGGGCCTGGTGGTGTAGTTAGTCCATGACTTGAAGCACTGCTTTTGTAGTGAAGTTCCAACAGCATGCTGGGCTTGAAGCAGATGCTCACTTAGCTTCCTTCAACTGGGATTCTCCTTGATTCCACGTCCTGCACCAGCCCGCCTTAGGAATCTGGAGCCCACCTGAGAGCAGTGTAGTGCAGAGAGAAGGAACGATTCGACAGTTCACCTTGGACCTTTTTGGGTTGGCCAAGAGTTGTCTGTCAGATCGTTGTCTGCTCCTTGACTGTTTATAGAGTTTTCCATCTGTTTTCATCAGCAGTTTCCACTTAGTATTTGAGGAGGTTTACGGCAAGCAGAGGGTGGTAAGTTGCTTATGACAGCGGAATACTATGTGCGAGAAACAGGATGGATGGAATATGAATGTTTTATGAGGAAGAAAGAAGTGACTTTAAGTATTTCCCAGTAATCTTGTTGGTGATGCATCTTCTGTATAGAGTCTTGTAAATCCTTTGTATGTAGTCAGCTTTTTGTTGTTTTCACTTGGCAATTTAGCATGTGCCTTTTGAATAAAACATGCAGCCATTTGCCTTTGCTGAAATGTGTGAACATCAAAGTACAGAATAGTGATGTGCTGGGCTCGGCCTTTCTAGACCATCGTCTCTATTTCTACCAACGTTGCCTTTCGACAGCACAAATTGGATCATTTCACAATCTCAGACAAATCTCCAGTGATTTACTGCTCTCTACAGGGCAAAAGGTTGGACTCTTTAGCTATTTAACCTGAACCCTGGGGTGGCCCTTTGCAATCTGCTTCCCATCAGCCTCGTTTCCCTCAGTGGACTCACCGGTCCACTCCCACCGAACTCCTCAGCTCTTCACCCTGTCGGGTCCCTTCATAACTTTCTGCCTTTTGGTGAATTGTTTCCTGTATTTGGAATGTTTATCTCCCTCTGTGTTATTTGACAAGTGTTTGCCTGTCCTTTCAGATCCTGCTTGTTAAGATTCCCTCTGCTGTGAAACCTCTCTGCAATGACAGGGTGTGGTGCCTGCCTCTGTTACAGTCCTTATCACGTTTTATTGCTATTGTTTATTTTCTCACTTATTTGCCTCTTCATATAGACGCTCAGTGTCTACGTTGTTTCATCTGTATGTCCCCAATAACACATGCATGTTGTCTGTACTGCCGGGGACTGTCAGGGTGTGTGTGACAGGGTTGTATCCTCTCACTGTACTGGTTCAATCTGTAGGCTGAGCACATTATCAGAGAAGCTGACTTACATCAGGATTTGGAGGAAGGTTTATTAGCAACTGTGCTTGCTGAAAGTGAAGAGGACTTGTAGCTTTTCCTGATGAAGATCAAGGATTGCAGCCTTCAGTGTGGATTACAACTCAGTGTAAAGAAGACCAAAGTCCTCCCAACTGAACCCAATGGTAACGTCCTGATAAGTGGAAAAAAGGTAGAGGTCGTCAAGGATTTTGTCTTGCTTGGATTCACAGTTAATACTCATGGAAACCCCAGCCAGCAGATCCAAAGACAAGTTGTATTAGGTAAATCTGCTGCACAAGACCATTTTAGAATATTGAAAAGCAAGGAGGTTAATTTGGGGGCTTCAGGTACCCCTGACCCAAGTCATGGTCTCTTCCGTTGCCTCATATGCACGTGCACGTTGAACTTGAATAAAGAAGACTGAAGAAGTCTTGATGCTTTTGAATGGTGATGCTGGAAAAGCGTAGTGAAAGTACGATGGACTGCTAAAAGGACAAACCAGTTTGTCTTGCAAGAAGTATGGCTCGAGCGTGCTCCTTAGAGGCAAGGATTGTGAGATTTAGCCTACAGACTTGGGACTTGTTGTCAGGAGAGGCCACTTCTTAAAGGAGGGCATCATGTTGGTGAAGTAGAGGGACCGTGAAAAAGAGGAAGGCCCTCCAGGAGATGGATTCACACTGTGGCTGCAACAGTGAGCTCAAGCCCGGACAGCATCGTGAGGATGGTGCAGGACCGGGCAGTGTTCAGCCTGTTGTGCATGAGGTGGCTGTGAGCCAGAACGGACTGGATGGCCCCAACACCGTCAAGGTCAACATCAGCATCGGGGTGGCTAGTAGAAAGCAAGTGCTCAGTAACGTTTGTCAGGGCGAGTGAATGAGTAACTACCACTGAGTTTTATTGCGATTCTTGCAATTACTGATTACATCTGCTTGCTTTACTGTGTCAGACTGTGGTGATACTGTTTGTTTTTCTAAACTGTTTACCAAAGAACAAACCCTCATCTACCATGAGTCTTGCATGGAGAAATGGTTTCTTTACCAGACAGCTTAGACTAAGTTATAGTACATTGACAGATGACCTCTAAATGTGGGCAGCAGAGACACAAAGGAGTATTCCTTTTTCTTAACGCTACATGCCAGGTGAGGTGGGTATCTGCTCTGCTCTGGGTCTCATTCATTCCAGATTGAGGCTGAAAGAGCAGTTCTCTTTGCTCTGTTTCGGCTCTTAAAGGTTTAGTTTTAAAATAGCTCCAGTTCTTTCTCTGACATTTTACAGGCCAACATATTGAGAACCAGTAGGTTATTACTATGGAGATTATTTTAAGCAATAATGTTATTGTTGAAAATGGATTTAAAAAATAGTTTCCTAATAACATTGAGTACAAACGCAAGAAGGAGAAAATGTTCTAAAATTGATTGCAGCGATGATTGAACAACTCTTTTTTTTTATTGTACAACTCTTCTTAATAGGATTGAATTAATGAATTTTGTGATATGTGAACTACATGCCAATAAAAGTGTTTTAAAAAGATACTTTCAAGCTTTCACTAAATTTTTGTGGTGGTGATAATATAGGCATTTTACATGTGCTAGTTTATTCAATCTCATATTTTCTTTTATTAGGAAGGTTTTATTAGTGTCTTGGTTTTATAGATAAGAAAGCAAGGCACAAACCTATTCAATGGCTTGACCACAAAACTAGTTATAGGCTAATGCTAGGATTTCTACCGTGGGAGTTTGGCTGTAGAATTTAAACTTAGAAGACATATAAAAGCAGGTTTATTTTTAGAGCCTAAAAAATAGTTCAAATTTGAGAATCTAGGATTCGTTATGGGAAAAGGTGCATATACATAGGAATTGGGGAGCCCTGGTGGCATAGTAGGTTAAGTGTTGGCTGACCACTAGGTCATTAGTTCAAAATTACTAGCTTGTTCCCCAGGAGAAAGATGAGGCTTTTTGCTCTCATAAAGATTTAGAGCTTCAGAAACCCAAACTGAGAGTTCTGCTTTGTTGCTTGGGATTGCAGCTATCTTTCTGCATTAGAAACATGGTTTACATTCTTCTGTGATCTGTGTATGACTTCATTAACAATGCAAATTCTTTTGAATAAAATGTCATGTACTTTAATGGATTATATATAATGCACATTGAGAAAAATAATAAGTTCTAACATCTGTGAATAATAGTTAAGGAATTTTATATATTTTTGTAATTGAAACATAAAATTCTGATGTGGGGTTAGAAATGATTTTTTATTGAATTGACTTTTTAATTCATTGTGTTTCTCCTATCTACTTAATATTGAATGGGTCATAAATTGAAGAATTTGTTTTCAGTTGATATAAAGTGTATGGGTTACCAATGATCTTTTTTAGCTGATCCTGTAATTAAAATGTGATTTCATTTGTAATTACTAGAGACCCTAGAAGTCAGTAAGAAAAAGAAAAATTTGTTTCTGCAGCTGGTTAATTGTACTATTTAATATTCTATTGAGAGTGATAGGGAGATATGACTGTGAACGTGACTGTACATCTATTGATATTTAGTGCACCTGCTTTTCTTTCCCTCTAGCTACAGCAAAAAATTATACCTGATCAAGACCAGCTGATGTCAGTCGCCCTGGAGTGCATCTACAGCTGTGAGCGAAGTGACCAACTCGCCCTTTGCTATGACATATTGGAATGTCTCCCACAAAGGGGTTATGGGTAAGAGTCTACCTGCTCATGGGGGCTCTCTCTTTTACTTGTGGTGAGGATGTTGGTAACAAAACATTTCAGTACTCTTCACGTGCTCAGTTAGGTGGCTTTAATTATGTTCATCATGTTGCTCACCCATACCTTTACTGGACCTAAAACTTTCCCACTACCCCTAACTGAAGCTAATTATTTCATATAACTGGAATCATACGATATTTGCCCTTTTATAATTGGCTTGAAAGTATTTCCTCAGCATAATGTCTTCAGAGTTTATCCTGGCCATAGCCTGTATCAGGTCTTTATTTTTCTGTGCAGGGGAATGTGTCTCATAGCCTTGGTGTGTCATTGTATTATGTTAACATTTTAAAGAAAAACGTTATTTCCTTTGTCAGACCCTGTATTATAGAAACCTTTGGAAATTAAAATTAAAACAGGATATTGTAATTCTTAGAGATAAACTTTGGTTCTTCTTCTAGTACATGGACAGTGATTGTTATTTTTTTTAACCTTGATAATCATTGTAAAACAGACAATAGTAACACTATGAGGAAAAAGAAATTAAGCCGCTAGGCAATGATATTTTCGGTTTTAAATTTGCACTAAATTTTTTTCATTTTTATGGACTAGTTGCATTTCTTTTATGAATGGTTTACTGTTAAACTTTGCCGCTGATAATCTTCTAAAGTCATGTGCTATGAATACACACACATACACACACACACACCTGAGGGAACCTCAAAAAGTTCAAGGGAAAATGGAAGCAAGGAATGGAAACATTTCACACACTTTTGGAAACACACACAACGCCCACAGTGGTTGTACATTTAAATGTGCATTCATATGGGCTTTCTCTCAGGTATTGAGTCATACGCAGATAGAATGTGTGTATTATTGGAGATCAAGTGATGGCTGTTCCTTTCATCATGATTTTAAACACTATGTATTTTAACTTTCTTATCTGTAGAACTCAATGAGAACATTGAGTGAAAACTCAGGGCCCTGTTTCTAAGCCTTTGTGAATTCTACTTGGTCATTTCTCTTACCAGTTTCATCATTTGAAAAGAAAGCTATTTACACAGTAAGACTGTCTAGTTTTCTTTCTTTATTCTTAAATTTCTCCTACTTCCCTTTCTTATAAAAAAGTTAGGACATGATTGGTAAAATTCACCAATTTTGCAACCTTTTGAAACCGTTATTTGCCATAGACATTTATGGTACTGCACTCCGGGGAACAGCTCATGATGCTGTTGTTGCATGGTTCCATAGCATTGTCCAAGTGACTTTCCCCACTAATTTCCAAGAAGTTGAAGCCTGATTGCCATCACCTTAATCAAGCCTTTAAAGGCAGCACCACTGAGAATGGGGGAAACGTGCCATTGTGCACCTCCTGGTGCTGCGCACTATGAAGTACTCAGCATTCCTTAAGAAGCATCCTCGCCAAAGCAGTTTACTCAGGATCTGATCAGTCCTTCAGGCTGAACCGATGGTCGACAGTAATTATTGGGGTTAGAGAGGCACATGTTAAATAACACCAGGTGTCAGCAGACAAGTACAGAATGTGTGCTGTTGCAAATGAACTTGTCTGATCATTCTGAAAAGTCCGTGTCCTGGGGGAAGCAGTGGCAAGGTGTGTGGTGGATGGCTGTGCTATAATAAAGCAAAGGACTCAAAACAATCCTTCCTAATTTTCGAATCTAAGGTAAATGTGGACACACGCGTGAGATCCAGGCTCGGTGAGATTTGTAGTAAATAATCAACTGTTTGCAGGTCCTACGGCCCCATCTTTGGAGACTTCTCTGCCGACACCAAATACTTTGTCCTTTTTTTAGGTTTTCTTTTTGTCTTCTTGCATTCACCTCCTTTAAAATATTATGCTTCTGCTTATTTATTTTGCCCTTTTAGGTGATTATTAACTTCTTTTATTATCTTCCTTTCCCCATGCTTGCACCTCTCTCCCCATGTTTTCAATATATTCAAAGGTAGTTTATATCACTGTGAGTAGATAAGTATTATTCGCACAGGTAAGCATGGTCCTGTTTCTTTTAATGCACATTTTGATTCTTATAGATTAGACAATGTTCTTTTTGCCTGCCAGACTGTCCAACTCCTTTCTGGGTCACTTACAGCTCAGATATCTCTCAAAGTGCTTTTTCTTGTTGATTTCCTCTTTCATTTCTCACAATTCCAACATTTTTCTTGGAATTCTCCTTCCTCTTGCTGTAGAGATTAATTGTTCTTTATATCCACTGCACAACTGCTGTTCTTAGTCTTTGGTTTGCCTCTTGGTTGCACGTAGCATTTCTTATAATTTCTTATCTTTGATCTTCATTGATTCTTCAGTTTTGCTAGAATGCAGGCTTTATTAGCTCCCTGCCAATGATTATATGGGAGGTGTTCTGAATATTCAAAGGTTGGGGGTGGGGGTTCCTAATTAAAACCTCACCTTTTATGGTTCTGGCTGCATATGAAATCTAGATATAGTATTAAAGAGAATTTTAGTTAAAAAATATTTTTGAAGGGTTTAAAATAATTTTAATTGTAAGCTTGGAGGGCCTTGCTCTTGGCTTTTCGCGCCAGCATCCTTAAGAAGTGCCATTGTGAATGCTAGTACTTTATATGTGGTTTTCATTCTTGAAAATTTTCGACATTTTCCATCTATAAAGTTTTGAAGTTTCACCAGGATGTGTGTATTGTGGGTCTACGTTCATTGTGTTCTTCACTTGATAGGTGATTTCAGCCTGGAAGCTAACGCTTTGTGGAAATGAGCTCCCTTTTTCCACTGACAGGGTTAGTTGTACTTTCTCCTTCCTGCTCGCATGATCCCTGTTTCTGTATGTGACCCTTCCTCCTGCTGCGCACCCGCCGCCGGCTGTCCTGAACGTGTTACTGAGCCGTCTCCATTCTGCTTTCATTCACACTTATGTTTCATCTGTTTAATTGACGTATTTACATAACACATAAGTCAATAGTTCAATCATTAAGAGTATGCAATCTCAAAAATAAATTTTAGATCATTTTCTTCTTTCTTGAAGTCACTGTTAATTAGCTCACCATTTCCCACCAAATTCCCCTGCCACACCCCTTTAACTATCTTTTCTGTTTTGTTTTTCATTTATTGCCTTCTTTTCTATTTTCTAGAGATTGCTTCAGTTTTGTTTTCTTAAATATCTTTTCAATCTTTAGATTTATTTTGGATTTTATACTTAAAATTGAAGAAGTTTTCTTTTTCACTAAAAGGAATTATGTCCTATTCTTTTTTCTACAAATATGAATATATTTTTAATAGTTCCTGCATTCCTTTCATCCCTAACCTAATCTGATTTTTGATAGTACTTCTGTTTAGGTTTCTGTTTTTATTGTTATGAACTTTCCTCCATGGATCATGATTTTTGACCATTTTTATGTAAAGAAATAAAAGGCCAGTGGAAGTCCTGTGGTTGTGGGGACTGGGCTTGTTCCTAAGAGTGAGCTGTCCCTGTGGAGCCTGGACCTCAGAGAGCCGTGCTCTCAGGGACAGTGAAAGATAAAGAAAGTGAAGTGTATCAGTAGAATTTGAAGCAAAATGTCCTTAAAAAAATCAGACTATTGACATTAAATTGAATCCAATCATAGCAACTCTTATCAGACAGAATAGAGAGATTATCTGGTGGGCCTAACTGACCTTCTGGTAAGAAGTCAGGTGCTTAACTCCTGCTGACTTAACCTGGCCTCCTTGTTGTTGTTGTTAGGTGCTACGGAATCAGTTCTGACCCTTGGCAACTCTCTGCCCAGCAGAAGGCAGCACCACTCAGTCCTGTGCCGTCCTCACAATTGTTCCTCTGTTTGAGTCCCTTGTTGCAGCCTCTGTGAGTCCATCTCCTTGAGGGCCGTCCTCTTTCCTGCTGCCCCTCTGCTTTACCAGTTACCAAGCATGATGCCCTTTTCCAGGCACTGGTCTCCCGGACAACTAGCCCAGACACGCAATACAAAGTCTCACCAGCCTTGCCTCTATGGAGTACTCTGGCTGTACTTCTTCCAAGACAAATCTGTTTTGTTGGGCTATCTGTGGTATTTTCAGTATTCTTCACCAACAACAAAATTCAGACCTATCAATTCCTCTCGGATCTCCTGTATTCAGTGTCCAATTCCACATGCATACATGAGGCAAGTGAAAATGCCATGGCTTGGGTCAGGGCGTAACCTCATCCTCAAAGTAACATCCTTGCTTTTCAGTACTCAGAAGTCACGTGCAGCAGATTTCCTCAATGTAACACGTCTTTTGATCTCTTCACTACTGAGTGCTGAGTATTCTATGAATATTGGTTGTGGATCCAAGCAATGCGAAATCCTTGACCACTCATTAAAAAACCTCAATGCAATGGATATCAGGGTACCAGTAGTAAATTACTCCTTTCTTATTGATAGCAAGAGATACGATACAGAAGGCTCTGCTCCTCAACATTTACCCTGGAGAGCAGAAGCAGTGGGCTATTTTTCTAACTAGAAAAATAGATGGGGCTGGGAAGTGGTTCCTTGGTAACCTTTGATCTACCTCCTTGTTGTTCCTAAATCCATTGTCTAACATCCTTTACTTCCAACTGAAGTATGTGACTAGGGAGCCCTGCTGGTATAGTGGGTAAGGCATTGGGTAGCTATCTGCAAGGCCAGCAGTTCAAAACCACCAGTTGCTCCACAGGAAAAAGATGAGGCATTCTACTCCTGGAAAGAGTTACAGCCTGAAACCCATAGGGGCAGTTCTACCCTGCCCTGCTGGGTTACTGTGAGTCAGAATTGACTTGATAGCTCTAAGTTTGGTTTTTGGTTGAATTACGTAATCAATTTATTTACATGATTTATTTTTATAGATTTATCAGACTTTATTAAGATCAAGTAGGTATAAATATCAACAAAAACACTGCAATGGAATCAGTTCTGAGTCTTAGTGACCCTATATGGTGTTTCCAACACTAAATCTTTACATGGCCAGACAGCCTCTTCTTTCTCCAGCAGAATGGCTAGTGGAGTTGAATTGCTGATCTGACAGTTAACAGCTCTTTATCAATATCATAGGTGATGTAATTTTTAAACATTAATTTCCTTTCCATGAGAAAATAGTCACAACACTATTGGAATGCTAATATTAAAAGAACAGTTTTAACATAGATTTTACAGTTAGGGCGTTTAGTAGGTGTATTTGTTTTAGTAGAATTCGAAGGCAAAGAAATGTCTTAACGTATGTAGGACCAATGGCTTGTCTTAGCTTCAGATTTAATGACCGTACAGACTCGTGCATAAGCCTAGTTTTTCAGCACATTGTAAATGCAATTTTTACAGTAGAATTAGGTGCCTCGACTGATATTCAGGTTGGCTTATACTCGAGTACATACAGTATTATTTAATAGGAATGTAGTACACAAGTATAAATATAAAAGTTAGGTTGATAACTTGTTATTCCATTTAAGTAATTATCTATATCATTTGTAATTATGTTAAAATACAATGCTTTGAAATATTTGTGTTTTTTTGTTCATGTGAGCTTATTTCCATTTTTCCAAGTGTTTAATTTGTGTTTATTTACAAAATAGTCAAATTTTTATGTATATATGCACACACGCACATATGTACACATACACATACATGCATATACATACAGGGGATATTCAACATGTTGTTGGAAAAATTCCATTATCTTTTAATTCCATTTTCCCAAGAAATTTTGATGCCCCATTGTGTATATTGTATGTGTGTGTATATTGCCATTTAGGAAATGAATAACAATGTATTTAATTATCTTGCAACTTACATATTTCACCTGTCTGAAGAAAATCTTTTGCCCACAGGGTGGCATGGACAGGACTATGTCAGAGTCAATATGGAGGGCTGCACTTCCCTAATTTGTTTATTGGTTATAATAACTATAATGCATTTGGGGTTACTCTTGCCCTGCTATTTAAAAAGACAGCAGTTGATTTACAGTTCTCTTTTTGTCTTTAAACTGAATGGAGCTGAAAAGTATCTTAGAAAATAATTTTATATATCTGGCTCATGTGTAACAGAAAATATTGTTCTACTCCAGTATTTTTTATCCTCATCTCTTGAAAGATGTTGAATGCATTAAAGAGATTGGAACAAAGAGAACTGAAATGTTGGTTGGATTATATTATTTATTATTCAGAGGCTATTATTATTTATTATGTATTCTCATTTTTTAATTTAATTGAGTTATAAATTTTATTTTCAAAGCTACAATTAAGACTTCATTTATATATATATATATATATTTAATCCTTTCAGTCACGAGACAAATGTGTCCAGAACACTTCATGACATGGTAGACCAACTGGAACAAATGCTCAGGTGAGAAGAATGACAGTCTTTCAGCTGTTTTCTGAGTCAGAGCATCTGTCTCAGAAATATTTATGTCCGCTCAGGTGTCATGTGTCCAGTCTGCCTTCATAAGGATTTGTCTCTTGTAGGAGGGAATTTTTTCAAAAACAATGGAACTGGTAGGTTATTCTAGAAGAACGGTAAAATAACTCTGCCTTTGAAAACATATAGACCTGGATTCAAATCTAGAGGCTGGAGGTTACTATCTATATGATCTTCCAGCCCAGAGTTATCTATTATATCTAATTTATGAAATTAACTTTAAATCAAACATGTAAAGTACTTCACACACAGAACTCATGCAGCACATGTTTGTTCTGACAGCAATGATGGCATCTATGAGAAAACACTGGACTACTTGTAACTTTCTGTTTCTGGCCACAGTGTGTTTGACTGAATACTATGTAGATGGTATACTGTATTAGAAAATTGATGTAGCTCTGTAGCAATAATCTTTGCTGTCATAATGAAACAGTAAGTTGTCTCATTGGTAGAGCGTTACCTGATTTGCATTTAGGAAGTGTAATGTTGATTATGAATATTTATTTTTATATGAGTATAAGTAATTTTAAATGCTTATATTAACAACATTTTAAGAAAAAAATTATGCAGTGTATAATTACAGGAATTATGTATAATAGCAGCATATTCGTTCTGGTAATATGAATATTAAAATGTAATAATTTGGAATCCATTAGTTGGTCATTTGGTTCATTCAGATTAAGGAATTTTAGTATAAAAATTATACTAAATTCTGTTCCATACAGTTATGGAACAGAATGTGTTTGTGTAGCATGACAGGTGAGTAGAATGAAGAATTTACTGTTCAGTTTCCTAAAGACCTTTGTTTATTATGATGTAGACCAGCGGTTCTCAACCTGTGGGTCGCGACCCCTTTGGGGGTTGAACAACTCTTTCACAGGAGTCGCTCGATTCATACGAGTAGCAAAATTACAGTTATGAGGTTACAATGAAAATAATTTTATGGTTTGGGGATCACCACAACATGAGGAACTGTACTAAAGGGTCACGGCATTAGGAAGGTTGAGAATCACTGACTTAGACTTCTGTTTCATGTTATTTTGTGTTCTGAAAGTGATATACAATTTTTGTTATTTTTTTGAGATAGTATATTGATGAGGCATTTTTTATTAGTTTGTAGGTTGGTGTCTCCTACTCTAAAACCTAGTTATACTTAATTCATAATTGTGAGGTTAAGTGAGACCGATCAGGTGTGCACATAATACTGATGACTGAGGGATCCAGAAGAATTATTTGAGACCAGAGAACTTATCTTTTGTTTTTACAGAATGGATTCATCAGATAAATTAAGCCTAGTGTTCTTTCTGGGGTCCTCTAACACTAAAATTCTTAGCTTATACTCTGGAATCTACCTATAACAAAATAGTCAAGATTATTGAGTTCAAGTAGATTGTTGAAATGATAGATTGGGCTTTTTTTTTAAAAATCATTTTATTGGGGGCTCGTACAATTCTTATCACAATCCATACATCCATCCATTGTGTCAAGCACATATGTACATTTGTTGGCATCATCATTCTCAAAACATTTGCCTTCTTCTTGAGCCCTTAATATCGGCTCCACAGTTTTTCCCCCCTCCCCCCTCCCTCATGAACCCTTCATAATTCATAAATTATTATTATTTTGTCATATGTTACACTGTCCAGCTTCTCTCCCCACCCTCTTCTCTGCTGTCCATCCCCCAGGGAGGAGGCTATACTTAGATTCTTGTAATCGGTTCCCCCTTTCCACCCCAAATTCCCTCCACCCTCCAGGCATCGCCACTCTCACCACTGGTCCTGAAGGGGTCATCTGTCCTGGATTCCCTGTGTTTCCAGTTGCTATCTATACCATGTACATTCTCTGGTCCAGCCAGATTCGTAAAGTAGAATTGGGATCATGATAGGGGGGGGCGGGGGTAGGGAGGAAGCATTTAAGAACTAGAGGAAAGTTATATGTTTCATCGTTGCTACCCTGCACCCTGACTGGCTCATCTCCTCTCCGCAACCCTTCAGTAAGGGGGTGTCCAGTTGCCTACCGATGGGCTTTGAGTCTCCACACTGCACTCACCCACATTTATAATGATATGATTTTCCTTCCTGATATGATCACTGAAGACAAACGTGTGCATAAGCTAATGTAGTGAAGAAAGCTGATGGTGCCCCGCTATCAAAAGATATAGCGTCTGGGGTATTAAAGGCTTGAAGATAAACAAGCAGCCATCTAGCTCAGAATCAACAAAGCCCACATGGAAGAAACACACCAGCATGTGTGACCATGAGCTGTCGAAGGGATCAGGTATCAAGCATCAAAGAACAAAAAATCATATCGTTGTAGATTGGGCTTGTTTTACTGACTTGTTTCTAGAGTTGAAGGAAATTGAAAATAATAAAACACAACAAAAATATTTTTAAATAGAGCTATGCTATGTTTTTCTTTTTCATTATAGTATATTGTATTATACTATATTTCAGCCCAGTATATTATAATAAAAATAAAAGGAGGAAATAAAATTTGATATCTAATTATTGATTTCTTTTGAAAATTAATTTACTGTGTAGAATTAGTTCATGCTATGAGGTCCCTCTTTACCCCTTTCTACCCCTTTAAGAATCCTTAAGATTCTTTTTCTACAGGTATTTATAGAAACACTGTACACATTTCTTTTTCCCCGTACAGTGTGTCAGAGCTTTTGGAGAAACATGGCCTTGGGAAACCAGTTTCATTCGTTAAGAATACTCAGTCAAGCTCAGAAGAAGCACGCAAGCTGATGGTGAGATTGACCAGGCACACTGGGCGGAAGTGAGTGATGAACAATATTAATTGATATTTATATATGACTTGTTAAAATAATGTGTCTTTTGATAGCTTCATTTAGTATAATTTGTGGCAATAATTTCTTTTGTAAGGTTTTATACCAAACTAGTCCCAAGGAATTGAACTGGAGATTGAAGAAGTTCCAAATGTCCAACTCTCCCTATAAATTCCTCTTCAGACTCGTGCAAAACATGCATTGACATCGAATACAGGAAGATCACAGGCCAGTGGGTATAAAGTCCTGTGGATCTAGTGGCGGTGAAAGTGTCTCAGCTCTGGCTTGGGGCTCCACGTGACTTCTCCAGCTCCAGGGCTCTGGCTCCATCAGCGTAGCACCGTTTGGCTTGTCAGCAGGAAGACAAAGCAGAGAGAGAGTATGTCCCACCTCCAGGGAAGAAGACAGGAGTTTCCAGAATCCTCAAGAGAAGGCCATGCCCACACAGAGGCATTATTGACTATGACCTGAATGACAGGACGGGCTCCACCCCCTTCATTTTTAATAGTCTCAAGTTGACACCAGATTATTTAATTACCATAGGAACCATTTCTCTAAGACCCACCTCAGTAGTTACTAATTAAATGAATGCTTCTTAATGAATTATTTTTAGATTTTTGTGTACCTCAAAATGAATGGCCAGTATTCCTAAGATCATGGTGAATCTTGCCTGGAACTTAACTTCAACAAGAAAGCTTTGTTACCCCTAGAATACCTATCATGCGTCCTTTAAAAGGTTATAAAGTTCTTGATGTCAGCTTGGACTCAACAGTGACCAGCTTACAATGATTACATAACAAAAGAGAATGTTGTTCTAATTTTCCAAGTAGTCAGCTTGAAATGAAAGTTAGTAATTTCATGTATGCCATTATGACTTGACCATCAGCACCTACGGACTCTTTTTATATTATAAATGATGGCAGATCTCATGAATCAGGTTTTACCATTTTTAATATTATACTGTCTCTCTCTGTATTCTCTCTGTATGCAGCCACCTCTATTCTGAAGCTCCAACTAACACATCATGCCCATGCTCAGGGTTCACTGTTAGTTTGTAAATGTTTTATATATGAGGATTAGTGAAAAAGATTCTTACAAGGGTGCCAGTTCATACGTATGTGGGTCTATTTCATACAAAACGGGTAAGCATGTCTTTGCAGTTGGTTGACGGCCGCAGATAAGTTCTTTCGGTAACACTTGTCTTTGTCTCGTGATGAAAATAGAGCTCCAATCCAACAGTGGCTTGCCAGGTGCTCTGCTCAGCCAGGTAGATGCAAGGCAGAGAGTTCAGCTCATAGATTGTGGTCACTCTTTTTAGGGTTCCAAGAGGGTAAGCATGAGAGATTTTCTCAAAGTACACAGATGATCACCGGGGCTTTGTGGAAGTTTTAAGAATATTAAGAACTGTATCGATGAGTAAAAGGTCAAGAAGGTTTTACCGAGGAAATTTCTTTCATTATTAAAATACACCTGCTTGTTTTTTCTGGGTAGGAAGGCTTGTTCAATGAGAATTTTGTTGGGAGACCATGCTCCATCCAACTTAATGCCCTAATCTTGTCCCATTCAGTCTCCCTGCATCTCACACTCAATGCATTTTTTTTCAATGCATTTTTTACAAGGCACATTTCAGTCCTCCAAGATGCCAGCATGGCTGCTTTGATGTGATGTAATTTCAAAAGCACAGGATTCTTTTTTTTTTTTTTTAAGCACAGGATTCTTCAGGAAATCTTTGTGGGGATGGAAATACCACCTTCTTGTCTAGTTGGAAAAAGATATTTGGAGAATCAGTAGCTTTCCTTTTTTGATATTTTTGTTTTAATAATGATTTCTATGACTTTATAGCAATGTCTTTTGACTAACTGTCATAGTTTATTGAAATCCTGGTTCCTATTTTCTGACTGTATTTGAAAATGGCCTTGTGAATGGTGTCTTATCATTTATTGTAATTACAAGTTCTACTGACTGCTAGCCACGTGTGTAAGAATACTCATGCGGTCTGCCCCACTACTGATAGCTTTCAGAGGAGCAGGGAGCGTGAGGACAGCTGGACAGAGCTCAGCTCTGATCGTGTCTCGCTGGGGCTCCATGTGCAACACTTGTCACCCTGTGCCGCCGCTCCGCTTGAAAACAGAATCTGGATGATCTTCTAGTCTGTGAGGTTTAGCCAAAGGGTTCACCTACCAAGACCTAACAAGTACAATATTGCAGATCTGGGTATCTGCAGGCCAAGAAAGTGTTCTCTAGTTCTCCAAAGGATTTGCAAGCTGGTTTGTTTTTATTTTTTAACATTTTAAAATATAGCCTTTGGAAGTTTTGTTGGTATTTAAAGATATTATAAAAGATAAAGATGTGTGGAGGAGAAATATCAGTTGTTTAACTGACAAATCCAAACCAAAAAAACGAATCTGCCCATTTCAGGGTGAAAGTGAGGAGAAAACGCTTTCCTGTGCTGCAGGAGCACCTGCACCAGGCACCCCTGTCACTGCCACTCGGGAAGCTGCATGCCATGGCATTTGATCAACGCGATTGATTAGGACTCCCTGTTTCTAGTAAAACGGGTCCTAGATGGATACATTGATTCTGGGTTGAAGGATGTGTAAATGAACTACAAATGCTTGATAGGCTTTTCTGAATCTGATGAGTGCCCTGTTCCTTAAAGGACAGGCAAACTGTCCCAGTGGATTTGTTATGGAACATAACTTCCTCTTGTAGGACCTGAGGCAGCTTCCTAAGCCAAACAGGTTATTTTCTGTACCTCTCCTCTGTCTCCTGTCTCCTTGCTCCTGGACTCCCACCTGGCCAGAAGACTGTACCCTGGAATGCTGGATGGACTTTCTGGCAGCCAGAAAAACCAGTGATGCTTCCCTGTTGGCAAACTAGTTACTGATTTATAAACTGATGCCAAGGCTGGCCTCTGGTGCTTTATGAATCTGTTTAATTAAAGTTAGACTCCTTGTGGGGGCTGCAGGGTGTTAGAGATGGAATTTGAAATTAACCCTCTTGTCATCAAGTATTTTTCCTGCTGTATATATCCTAGCTACTATATCCTGATGAACTTTATTTTACCTTGGGAATTGGCCTTTGCCATCCCCGTGTATCCGATTACAGGACGGAGGTTATTTGGGCACCACCAGTACTAGTGCAGTGTAACTGCCTAACTTTTTTCTCTCTGTTACGGATGGAATTAAGTCCCCCCAAGAGAAGCGGGGTGAAATGTGTACGTCTGTGCTTATAATCTCCTTTGGAACTGGGTTATTTTTATTATCTTAGTGCAAGAGAATTAGTGTAGAATGTGTCTTCTGTCAGTCTCTTTTGAGATGTAAGAGGTTAAACAAACCAGTGACAAAAGCGGAGAAGCAGGAAGAAGCTTGCCCAGGAGCAGAAGCTAAGAAGATACAGGACCTTCTTCAGCTGCCAAGACAAAACAAGCTTCCCCTTTTGGCTGGCTCCCTGTTCAAAATGCTAGCCTCCTAACCGGCGAGGAAATAAACGTGTTTGCTAAAACCATCCACGTTATGTATTTCTGTTAAAGAGGTTTTTGTAGCATAAAGAATGTTGGCACTAGTTTTATGAATGACTAGCTCGTGGTAGAGAGAGATTTCATGAATTCTTTTTCTCTCCCTTTCCTTCGCAGGCAGCCTCCCGTGAGTGAGTCTCATTGGCGAATGCTGCTGCAAGATATGTTAACTATGCAGCGGAATGTTTACACGTGTCTAGACCCCGATGCTTGCTATGCGGTAACTGTATCTGCTATATATCGATTTTCTTGTAATTTAGAAACTTCGATAGTTAAACAACTTCCTTATTAGACACAAAAGTAGCGATCAAAAGCTTCTATATAATACTGTTGAATAATAACTGATAATTGATTCGTGCGTTTTAATTTATTAGGCACTTGAACCACTATTCTCTAATTCTCCCATTGCAGTACTTTCATGGTTCATTTCCAGCCCTCCTCAGACTCGACTCCATTCTCATTTCCATTGCTTTGATAGTCACTGCAATTTATTAAGTATATTTGAGAAATGCCTCTCAAATATTTCCTGTTTTCTTTGTACTCATCATATTTGACAAGCTGCAATCGTCCTCCAAATTGTCTCCTTTATCTCGGTATCCATTTCTGGGTTCTTTAGTGTAGAGTATTCTATCAATGGTCAGAAACATCCAGATGCTGTCGAATAGCATGGCAGGTTCCAGTCCCTACATGCACTGTGTCTTTGTAAGTGTCCACCAGAAACCTCGGCTCCAGCTTCCTCATTCCGTCATGAATTGCTGTACACATCACATTCTTTGTTTCTCTGCCTTTGTTCACATTGCTCCTATACCCTGAAAGGTCTTATTTCTGTTTACTTTCCTTGAAAATTCTGAATACTTGTGCAGGGCTTAGAAGGACTGCCTTCTGGGATGTCTTCCTTTTCCTTTTCATGTCACGTATAGCCTTTCTTTAATATAGTTATTCGTTTTGTACATGTGTTTTTTCTATTTGGTCATGAGCCTCTAGGTGGACGTTATCAAAACATGTTCATTCTTAGATTCTCCGATATATATTCCGTCTGGAACATATTAAGAAGTAGTTGTTAGTTGACTAGGAGGGTAACCCATGGGGACTCACTCATTTCGGAGTTATCAGCATTATCAATGAATTACTCAGAGTTGCATAAAAAATGATGAGGCTAACCCCTTCTGAGTGAGATGCAGGCTAAAAATATTTCTCATTTGAATTTGGTGTTTACTAAGCCAGGCACAGACTCAGGTAGGAAGTTCCTCGTGTCTCTGCTGTCACCACAGAGCGTGACTCGTTGAGAATACACAGAAAGTGTCTTTCTATTATGGGAAATTATTTAATGTGTTAATTCCAGATGATTTTAAACAAAAGAGCAGTAATACAGACTTGTAAGAAATGAATGGTTTACATTTGAATTTAGATTTTTAAATAATCGAATGAGAATAATATTGTGATGATTTCAGGCAGAGCACATACACCTGCCAGTAACTTTCCCTTTTTGATCCAAAGTACCATTTTGAAAATAATCTGTGTACACACAAAATCCAAAGCAGAACCATCATTAGTATGTTTGAAGGAATTTTTTCGAGTTAGAGTGGCATTGTTTTGTTATTTCCTTGTTTCTGATTTTATTGAAAAATTGGCAAACAGCATATTGTACTTCAGCTTGTTCCTGTGGGTGGTTACCTATTTTAACAACTTAGCATAGTACTTACAAATATTTTAACCTTTTGAAAAATAAATTAGCCTTTGATATTTTAATCACTTTTGCTTATTAGTCTCTCTCTCTTAAGCAAACATTTGAAAACATATAATAGTTTTGAAAGGGTTATAGGAGATGCCAAATTAAACTAAAATTTAATAAATTAAAATTTTAAATATTAAGTACTTTGTAAATTATGATACCTGGACTTAGTGGCTTTTGTCCATTAGATTTTGTTGTTCTTGGAAAATAACCTGAAAATTCAACAGCCCAATATTGAAGAGCTTAGATAAAGATTTCTGAGTGTAGAACAGAAATCTATTTTGTATGTTTTTATTTTAGCAGAACCTTCTAAGTTGAGTGAATTGAGTTTTGTAATGCTGGGCGTTGAGTCTTTTGACTTACCTGAGTAAACCAAAGGAAGAGGAGACTCGTGTTTAAGTCACTTTTGTTAGACCTGGAGCCACCCACTTCCATCCGTCATACAGAAATGACGAGGGTCGCTCACTGATAATCACTCTCTGTTGTGTTTATCCCACAGCTGAAAACCCCACCCAGTATTTCAAGTCAGACCTATAGTGGGAAACCTATAGACCTAAAAGAAATAAAAATAAAGAAAATCCTGTAACAGTTGGATGATATTCCTGATTATAAGGATTTCCTGCTTCTTTATGAAAAATCTTTTAGCATACATTACTCCTATTCCTGTGCTGCCCTCATTGCCACACAACAATGGACTTAAAAGAAAGGGCAATAAATATTATTAGTGTAATAATAATCAATATTGTTAGTGTAAATTTAAAAGCTTGTCTAATTGTTTTTCTAAAGTAGGTATAACATTTCAATTATAGGATTAATTTTATTAATTGATAAAAATCAGTTGTGTAATAGAATTAAATACATTCCTCAGTAGCTTGTTTTATGAAAATAACTTTACACTTACATGATGGAGAAAACACAATGGAAAAGTTATATTGTGATTTTAATGATTAGGTCTAATGATAGCTTTCATAGCTTATCAATTAGGTTGTAACACTGAATTTACATTCTTAAAGCAGTATGGTATTAAAATTTTTTCTTTCACATATTAAATGGTTACTTGTAATGAAATGGTTTTATATATATAGTTCAGGCATGGGCCCTATTTAGGACAATGTATTTAATTAATCATGTTTATTAATGATTGTGAACTTTAGGTTCTTGAAGAGATATTCATTGTAACACATTAAAATATGCATATGCTTCGTTTATTGAGCGAATTATTTTTTCTACTAAAAGGATAGATTAAAAAAATTGAAATGACACCCACCTACCATAGAATCCCGGTTTTGAAGTGCACGACTCAGTGATATTTGGTTCCTCCACAGTGCTGCGCGACAGCCACTGCACGGATGGATGGTCGATTCTTGTGTATTGTAGTTCTATTCTATTATGTTCCCAGGAACACTGATCTAGCAATGTGGAACTATTGCTTGGGAGCAAAATAAAGGATGGGCATACTTAGTGCTTCAGGCCACAACACTTTTATCTACTGATCAATATATAATCTTATTTTATGTGTGTTTCTGTTTAAAGAAACCTTATTTAATATACCCTATATTGTTGGTTCATTAACATTGAACTGTATAAACAGTTCTATTCCTTATGACTTATTTAACACACATATGGGTGCATCACAGCCTTCTTGTTTTTAGGGAACTATACATCACGATTTTTAAACACAAATCCACCCAAAAAAAGCACAGATGGGAATTAAGGTGGCATTAAACACCTTGAGAAAGGTCCTTGTTTTCAGTTCTGAGCTGAAACAAGACAGACTGTTGGGAATGTACACTGGAATGAAGCCTCTCCCTGCTCTATGGAGGCTTGCAGATGCCGGGAAAGCACCCTGAGCGTTGGTTTGGGAGTTCCACATGGATGTTAGCAAGTAGGCAAATAAAGAAAGACATGATTTTGAGAATGTGGAAGATAGAATATATCTGCCCTGTATTTTATTTGAATTTTAGAACCTTCCTTTGATTGAGAACCAAATCATCTCTCCTTAGCACTAATTCCAGTTTCTTCTTTTCCCAGATATTTACCGAAAGCCTTCTGTGTTCCAGCCACCTTGGAAACATCCACCTTGCTGGGCAGATGATGCATTGCTCTGCTGTCTCGGGCAATCCACCAGCTAGTGGAGCTCATAAAGGGAAAACCCGGTACAAGGTCAGCTATGAAAAGAGTATTGACTTGGTTTTGGCTGCCAGCCGAGAGTACTTCAATTCGTCTACCAGCCTCACTGATAGCTGCATGGATCTGGCCAGGTAGAATCCCATTTTTTTCCTTCCAAAGGGATGTGTGTGGGAGTGGGAATCAAAATGCACAAGCTCAATGTTGCTTTTGGTCTGTGATCTATAAAATATGAGTACATTATCACAGGGACCCATTGACTATACTGTATAGGACACAGTTGTTATAGCTTGAATGTTGAAAGAAAACTACGTTATGGATAATTATTTCCTCTTGATCTTTCTCCAAAGTCATTCTTGCTGATTATCTGCGAGGTTATTTCTTCTGTTAACAGAGACTAAAAGCGTTAGAAAGTCCACCTTGCTGACTGGAAGTTCCAGAGGCTGCAAAGTTTTTTAGTTTTTTTATGTCTCCTTTCACTTGCCCCCAGACCAATATTGGGGTGTGTTTGCCATGACCTATTTCCCACCGGTCCGTTTGAAGTATCTAGTCATGCGTCTAGATAACATCGAAGTGGCTCATTGGCTGTGGGTTTTGTTTTGTCTTTGGTCGTCCATTTCATAAGGAGCCCTGGTTAAGAGCTCAGCTGTGTACGAGGTTGGTGGTTTGAATCCAGCACCAGCGCCATGGAGGAAAGAGCTAGTGACGTGCTCCTGTAAACCTTACGTCCTGGGAACGCTCAGAGTGTAATTAGGATTTGGAGTCCATTAGACAGCGCACAATCACAGCCAATTTCATATTTCTCCTTCAATTCAGACACTAGAATTACAGTCTTTTTCTTTGTCTGAGATCTTGTTTTTGAGAATTTTGCTCTACTTTTCTTTGCCTAGAGCTGAGCTAATCCACATTTCTAGAAACATAATTTTTTTGTTTTGTTTTTTATTTATATTTTCCTAACCAAGATAATTGCCATTTTATTGATGGAGTCTGCCTTTCCCATGTAATATCTATATTTTTATTTCTTGACATTGGATGTGTCTACACACACACAAATATACTTGTTTATAATTTGACAAAATTATTATGCATTGCATCTATATATTTTTTTAGTTTGTAATGTGAATCACATAGATCAATATTATTTTTATAGATATTTTGACATTGTATTCAATGACTGTATCATACGTGCCTTGTCCCTTTTTATTGCTTCTCTTGGTCTTGAATTTATCTCTTTTCAAAGCAGAAAAAGCAGTAGCGTCTAGCGGTTACAAATACAGGTTCTGGAGCCAGAGACCTGGTGCATGTGTAGCCTTAGTTAGCTGACAGCCTTGTGCCTTTGGCTGAGTTATCTGGGCCTCAGCACCCTCACGTATAAAATAAGCAGAATAGAATCTACTCAGCATGATTACCAATACTGTATTTATGATTTTTAAATAATTGTATTTTAAACAATTACATTCATTAAAATATTATTTTATGTTTATAGAAATATAACACGTCAGAACTATACTTGCATTATAGAAAATGGCGAGAGGAATTGTTGAATCAGAGGATAAACACACATAATTTTAATATGTGTTTCCAGTAATTCCAGTTTATCATCTATTAAGATGAGATGTCCTCATTATGTTTATGGAAAATGTGTATTATTGAAAAATAAAAGATCATGGAAAGCTCTGTATGACAGCAAAAGCGCAAAATCCATGTTCAGGGTGCCTATGTGGAAGAAGCCTCCGGCTAATCCTTTATGACCATTGGCCAGGGATGTGAATAGCCTTGCTGCCACAGAGAGTGGACTAATGCAGACATAGGATAAAATTGAACACCTTATCATTTGTTCTCCATGTTGACCCACTTACAATTTGTTCTAGATTTTATTGTGCTTTTCCCCCTAACATTTTTGTTGGCATACATATGCAGTTGAATACTTCAGTCATTCAGTAGTAGTATCCAGAGGAATTGTACAATCAGCTGCACATCTGTCGTAGAGCAACATCCCCCCAATGGTTCCAGCACCTTTAAAACGAGCTGGTATGCCTTCGTTTTGATTGAGGTTTTTCTCTTTTATTTTGTTATTGTTCTCAGATTTGTTTGTTTCGTTTTATTGTGTGTATGGTTTTCTGAAGATGAAATCCAGTAACTGTATTAATATTTTCCTAGGGTAATGGCAGGAGAGATTAGGGGAAAATAGGTAATGAGTATAAGAATGAAAAAAATGTTCTAAAATTGATTGTCATGGTGACTGTACAATTCTTTTTAATATGCTTAAGCCCTTGAATTACATGCTATGAGAATTACAGGCCAATAAAACTCTTAAAATTTTAAAAATGCATGGAGTGAAAAAAATTTTTTCCCCACCAAAATAGACTTGTGCCTCTGGTGTAATGGGTTCCATGGTAGGCTGCTAACCACAAGGCAGTCGTTTGAAACGACCAGCTGCTCTGCGGGAGAAAGACGAGGCTTTCTGGTCTCCTAAGGACTTACAGTCTCGTAAATCTCCAGAGGCAGTTCTACCCTGTCCGTTACAGGTTGCTTTGTGTCAGAAGTGTCTTCGTGTTAGTGAGTAACTTCTGAAACATTCATGAACAGGATCTACTTTGAGGCAGTTAGAAGGGATACGACAGGGGTCCTCAAACTTTTTAAACGGGGCTAGTTCACTGTCCCTCAGACTCTGTTGGTGGACCAGACTAGTTTAAAAAGAACTATGAACAAATTTCTATGCACACTGCACATATCCTATTTCGAAGTAAAAAACAAATGGGGCAAAAACACCTGGCGGGCCCGGATAAATGTCCTCAGCAGGCCTGCGGGCCGTCGTTTGAGGACCCTTGGATAAGACATCAGTTTGAGGAGAGCTCCTATCAGAGCAACATGAATTCTGCTAAAATTAAAACAAAAACAAACATCAAATTTCTGGTAAAGCTTCAGCGGAAGGATCATTGGTGTTTTATGAAAAGTTTATGTTCCCAAGATAACAGTTTACAAATGAACAACTCATTTTAAGAAAGAACAAAACAATGTTCAAGATGATGCCCAGAAGAGCAAATCAACCAACTCAGTTTGTGAGGACAAATTTAATCTTATTTATTCCCTAATCAAAGAGGACCTCTGATTAACACCAGCAAGAAGAGCCGGGTCTGTGGGCATCATCTCAATGGTGTTAGTTTACAAGATTCTGACTGACAGTTTAAAGATGAACATTTTCAGGCCAGTTGCCGATAAGAGCAAAGCTGTCAACAGAAGTTTTAAACAAATGGAAGCAAGACTCTGAAGCATGTCTTTGAAGAATTGTAAGAGAGGGAACTTGGCTTTGCCAGCATGGTCCTGAAGACAAGCTCCAATTACCGATGGCTGTCAAGAGATAGAGTTGGAATCAACCTGATGACAGATTAGGGTTCTTGGAATTCGCTGCTCAGAAGGTTGTGGCACCTGATGCTTGGGATTTCAGAGGGACGCTTTCGTAGATGTTATGATGACGTTTTAAGAAAAGTGAAAGCTGTACTGGTAAGAAAAAGGCCAGAAAAATTGTGCCAGGGAATTTTTTGCATCATGAAAATGTTTCTGCTTCCAGGGTCGCAAGGGCTGTACAATGAGAATTGCATTGGCAAGCCTTACCTCATCCACCAGCAGCACTGATCTCGCCCCGTTAGACATCTTTTCATTCCCCAAGCTCAAAGAACCTTTCAAAGAAACCCGTGGGCCTTGATAGATTAGGGGGGAAAGGTGGAACCAGACTCAAAATCGTAAGAGAGCTACCTTGCAGAAAGAGACTCTTGAAATTCCGGAGAGTGCGGCCTCTGGTCATCCTTCAGGCGTGGTGATGAACTCTCCCGCCCCCGCCCCCTCCCGCAGTCTGTGAGGGGAAAATAACACTAGTGTGTTCTGCTCACCGCAGAAGAGTCAATCCTTTGAGATCAACGGAGGGGTCAGAAAGAAGGGGAAATGAAAAGAATGTGGCACGCAGAGAAGGGGACCAAGTGGTGTTCGAGTGAGGCACTGCCGTCAGGGCGATGGGACCCGGCGTGTGTGACTTGTTGAATGTCAAAAGATGGTCTGCTCTGTAAACCTGCACCTAGTTCACAAAAGGAACACATGGGCATACTGCGTTCTGAAGTGAGTTGACCTTGATGGTAGATATGTTGAGAAGCAGTGGCTTCACATTTTGATATGTTTGTTTAATAAAGGCCTGCATGATTTTGTTGCACTACTTCTTGATATATCCTCATGTAATTTATTCAAACGTATTCTGAATTTTAGAAACAAAAATTCTTCTTTCTTACATATTTTCTATGTTTTGTTTAATCATTTACGAGATCTTTACATTTACAAGATTGTTAGAATAGTTACCATATTATTTATTAGTACTTTGATGACTTTACTTTGTATATTTAAATGTTAGGCCTACTGAGAACTAGTTTTGATGTGAAGATTATGGTATTGGTATTTTCTTCATTTTTGCCCCTCAAAGTGACTAGCAATTCTTTCAGGACTACCAAAAATTGAAGTAAACTGTTTTTTTTTCCCCAATGATATCTTATCCCAGCACCATGTTTTCTGGAACCACGTTACTGAAGTTGACAAAGTTGGTTAACGCGTTCAGTCATGCTTTTGTTTTGCCAGCGGACTGTGATTCCTTTTCAGATGATGAAAACATCAAAGAGCATAACCTTTGAAACTGAGACTTGTGCCTGACCTAAATCTTCTCGGCAGGCCTTTTGCAGGGTCATTTTTCAAAAGGCATATCCTCTATTTCTCCTTCATTCCAACTCCTCTCCCGCAAAGATATTCCTTAGTTAAAAAAAGAAGCCATGTGTGTATCTAATGTGGCAATACTGTAAACTGATTTTGATCTGAGTCTAATAATTTAAACCCACTTACTGCATTGTTTTCTAAAACATTTCATTAAAGGTTACCTTCTTTCTTATATCACAATTAAGTGTTGAGTATTTATACATGCACATAGAGACACGCACACATCTGTGTGTGTATATATATGCATGTATATATACACATATCATGCCTTTTTTTCATTTACAATCTATATTAGAGATTTTCCATATGAGCACATATAGCATTGCTTCACCACTCATACGCTGGTGGCTTGCATATTGCCGTCATGCTGGAAACGGTTCTGTTTGAGACCATCAGGGTCACCTATGGTGGATCTGTGTCATTGGAGTTTCAAGACTAAGATAGACTAGGAAAGAAGCCTTGGCAATCTCTTTGTGAAAATCTTGGCAAGTCTGATATAGTGTCAGAAAACCCCTCACGATGGAAAAGCCAAAAAAACCAAACTCACTGCCATCGAGTTTATTCCAACTCGTAGTGTTCTGATAGGACTGGGTAGAACTGCCCCTGTGAGTTTCCAAGCCTAATTTTATTTTAAATCATTATATTGGGGGCTCGTACAACTCTTATCACAATCCATCCATCCATTCATCGTGTCAAGCACATTTGTATATTTTTTTAAAATCATTTTTTGGGGGGCTCATATAACTCTTATCACAATCCATACATCCATCCATTTGCTTTCTAATTGAGCCCTTGGTTTCAGCTCCTCATTTTCCCCTCCCTCCCTGGTTCCCCCTCCCTCATGAACCCTTGATAATTTATAAATTATTATTATGTTGTTATATCTCACACTGTCCAACGTCTTTTCTCTTGGCCATCTCCCAGGGAGGAGGTTATATGTAGATCTTGTAATCAGTTCCCCCTTTCCACCCTCCCAGTATTGCCACTCTCACCACTGGTCCTGAAGGGATCATCTGTCCTGGATTCCCTGTGTTTCCAGTTCCTATCTGTACCAGTGTACATCCTCTGGTCTAGCCAGATTTGTAAGGTAGAATTGGGATCATGATATTGGGGGCGCGGGGAAGGAAGCATTTAAGAACTAGAGGAAAGTTGTGTGTTTTATGTTGCTACACTGCACCCTAACTGACTCGTCTCCTCCCCACTACCCTTCTGTAAGGGGATGTCCAAGACTAATTTTTGATGGGAATAGAAATTAAATAATAGAAATAAAATTCCTTTCTCCTTTGGAAGCACTGAAAATACAACGAGGGAAGAATTGCCTTCTCAAAGTAGAGTCGCTCATAATGGTATGACTTCAGTAAAACGCGTGGGACCTTCCTTTCCTGATATGCTACCACTCAAAGTGCAAAGAAACAGCTATAAATACGTCTTACAATTCAGAGCATGGAATGTATGAAGCATGGATGTTATATGACTGAAAGTCATTAAAAATGAAATGGACTGTATAAAAATTGATATTCAGCCACATGAAGTAGACTGATAGTGGCCTTTTTTGAATCACTTAATAAATCCATGCCAGGAATAACAAACTGAAGAGGAACCATGTTGCATTTATTGTCAGAAAGAATAGCTCAACATTCATCTTGAATTCCAGAGAGCTTTCTTGTGCTCACGTTTCACTTGTACTCAGAGCGAGCGAGAGTTTTTCTCATGAAAGGAGCGGTACTGGGTCGTCTGCAGCAAAGCTGGGCATTAGGGGTGTCCCCGCGAGCCCTACCCCCGCCCCTTTCCATTCTGTCTGCTGAGCAAGACTCCATCCCCCAGGAGAGGAGGAGGAGGACTCATGACAAACCGGGGTATGCGGACACACCTGGCTGCTTAAAATGAAGAGGATTTGAAGCACTTACTGAGGACGATGAGAGGATGGATTGTATCTCAAGGTAAAGGAAACAAAGCTCTTCACAATTGGACCAGTAAACAGCGTAATGGTAAACAAAATAACAAAGTTGAGGTGTCCTGGATTTCATTTTACTTGGGTCCACAATCAAAGACCCTGGGAGCAGCGGCCAAGAAATTCAGTCCATGCATTGCCCTGCACAAGACTCTTTCCACCTCTTAATAAAAACTAATATCATTTCTCCCAGATGCTGTTTACAACTGATAACAGATAGGCCCGTTGCCATTCAAGAGGAGCTAGATCTTATTCAAGCCCTCGGATGCCTTGAAGAATTTGGGGTAAAGATCCTGCCTCTACAAGGTGAGTTTTCTTATTGTTGCTTAGGTCACTTATTGTACATTAATTGTTAGAGCCCCTTTTATAATCAGGATACTCAACAAATGAAAACTGCAGTTTATATACTCCTATATAATTTTTCTTTCACAAGTTTTCATGATTTTTACAACTAAATTTTTCACCTTGAGAGTACATAAGAAATAAAGTCAATGTTTTACTTGGTTTTTCTTTTCTTTTTTTTTTTTTTTAAGTTTACATTTAGTGGGTAAAGGGAGACAACAGACAGTGTAAGATACAAAATAATAATAACAATATGTAACTGATCAAGGATTCATGAGGGTGGGAGAGAGGGGGAAAAGAGGCGCTTATACCAAGGGCCCAAGTAGAAAATGTTTTGGAAAAGATGATGGCAGCACATGTACAAATATGCTTGATACAATTGATATATGGAATATTGTAAGAGCTGTACGAACCCCCAATAAAATGATTTTTTTAAAGTTCACACATAATGATAACAATAATAGCACTAGTAACAAATAGCAGATAAATTACTGGATAAAAAATAAATTTAAACTAGGGATTAAGATGAGAGTTTCAGATAAACACTAGTTAAATGTTCGTGTAGTTTATTTCTGTAGTTTGTTTTAGTTGCATATGTAAGTAGCTATGGAGCATAATGGAAGAAAGGCTAGATGGGAAAACAAATCTTCCGATTGGTTGTGGATGAGACTGTTCGTTTTCCTAGGATTCTCACTGGCTGTACTTTGAGTTGGTGGGGGAGGTGTCGTTGAGTTTCTTCTATCTGTTTTCTCGTTAGATTTCCCCAAGATTGTGCCTCTTCATGTTCATTTTATTATTATCGTTTGAAAAGGCCTAACGGCCTACTCAGAGCTTCCTCGTGCCTTTGCCCCACGAGTGTTTGACGGGGATGAACCTTAGGGGATGTGAACTGGAAGAGATACTCTCATTATGGCTTATTAAAAATGAAAGTTCTACTTTGTCAGGTAAATTTATTAGACTTGAAAGAAGTCTCTTAGAATATTACTGTGTAGAAAAGAATTTGAAGGTGATTATAAATAACCTGCATCATCTTAAGTATTAAGGTGATTTTTAAATCACTAGAACATTTTACTGAGTTGTACCATTTATGCAAATTTTTGGTTCAGAGCCTTTTAAACTTATGAAGGCTGTTGTTACTAAAAGGCGTTGCCAGTTTATTCGCGAATGTCTTAATTCTCTGTGTCCTTGTATTTTTTTTAATTCTTCATGTGTGTGTGAGTGTATCGACACTAATGTTTAATTCAATCAGATTCCTACAAATAAATTATTTTCTTATATTTCTCATATGCTAATGAATTTTGAAATATTCAGTCCTGGTTTTCTGTGGTAGTCAATTAACAATATATTTGCTGTTAATATTTACATTATTGGCCGCTGAGTTTGATGATCAGAAACCAAACCTGCTATCCTGCTAGAGCGTCTGAGGAATTTCCTGTCTGAGGAGTGTTTTAAGACAGACGGTTGCTTGCATGTCTTGACAGCTTTTGAGCTTGATCTATTGATTTGGAATTTCCTATTAGAATCACTGTCAGAAAACCTTCTGGATGTGGAGACAGAGTATTATTGCCTCTGTATAGCATTTGTTGCATGAATACAAGAAAGATTTAAGCTGCTTTTATGCTGCCCCAATTAACTTGATATTTAGAAATTTTTGGTTTAGGTATTTTCATGGTAGTCAGTACCCCCGGTACATTTTGCCTGTCCTCCAGCAGTTGCTATTTCTCATAATCGCAAGGCTAGCTATACTAGATTAAATGAGTGATTTAATAACAAACAGGAAAAGAAGTCTGTCAAACGATTCCTGTTGTACTACAAGTCTCTTGTGAAGTATTGTTTGTGCTTTTGTCTGTGTTTCTTCCGTAATTTCTGTGTTTCCATTTGCGTACATTTCCTTCATGTGCAAGGGAGTGGATGTAGGATGTCTCTGCTTTCCCCATGTGTTCTTTCTTTAATAGGGTAGGTTTTGTAGTGGTAAAGTATTGTGGTTAAAGCCAGCATGGAGCCAGGTTTCCTGGGTTTGAATCCCACTTCACCATTTATTTCTGAGTAACTTAATCCGTTTGTGTTTACATTTTCTCAATTATAAACAGGGATGCTAATGAACACCTTTCAATACTTATCTGGTAGTTTATTCTCTTGCGGTGGCTTGCTTGGTACTATGATGCTGGGATCTCTATACTCTCCTTATTGCAAATACCATCAGGGTCAGCCATGCTGACCAGGTTTCCCTGGAGCCTCCCAATGGAGGCCTGGCTGTGAAGAAGAAATAAGCTGTCCACTTTGGAGAGGGTTAGCCATTGTTTCCTTCTGTTGTACCTAGGGTCAGTGTGAGTTGGATCGGACTCAAGGGCACCTAGGAACAATGACACGGTATACAATTGTTTCTGAGCAGTAAGGCTATATATTTATAGTGCTTACAATATAGTAAGGACTCTACAAGAATCACCTATCACTTTAAAAATTTTATTATTATTTTTTTACCTATCACTTTTATAATTTTTCTTTAAGTAGTTTCTAATAATGTTAGAATTAGTGTGATCATAATCCTCCCCCTTTCATTTTCTTCATTCTTTCCTTTCCTTCCCTCTGATTCTTCCTGTCCCGTGTACACTATCTTATTTTCATACTTTCTTTGGCTCTATTCAACACACAATTCAGATACTCTATACTAGGTACTGAAATGCTGAAATGGGTTAAGTCAGACACAGTCTTTGCATTTGAGAGGCCAACACACTGATGACAAAACAGTTATACCAGTGTTTCTTAAGTTTACATTCTGGCTTAGTCACTTACCATTTGACCTTTGGCAACTGAATGCCTTTTAACTTTTCACCTTCCTGATATCCCTGTTGTTGGTAGGTACCATTGAGTCCGTTTTGACTCATAGCAACCCAGTGCACAACAGAAGGCAGCCCTGCCCGGTCCTGCACCGTCCTCACAGCTGGGCCTACCTCTCTTCCTATGCCCCTCTATTTTACCAAACATGGTGTTCTTCTCCTGGACCTGGAGCTAACCCGTCCAGGTATGCGAGACGAGGTCTTGCCATCCTTGCCTCGAAGGAGCATCTGGCCATCCTTCTTCAAAGTCGGATCTGCTTGTCCTTTGGCAGTCCGTGGTACTTTCAGTGTTTTTCACTAGCACCATAGCTCCGGCGCGTCGTCAGTCTCTCATCGCTCTTCCTCTTCACTCCCCAGTCTTCACGGGCGTTTGAGGCAATTGAAAACAACATGCCCATCTCAGTCCTCAAAGTAACGTCCTTGCTTTTCAAGACTTTAAACAGGTCTCGTGCAGCAGACTTACTTAATGCAAAGGGTCGTTTGATCTTTTGACTGCTGCTTCCATGATTATTGACTTTGGATCCAAGCAAGATAAATCCTTGACAACTTTAATTTTTTCCCCATTTATCATTATGCTACCTACTGATCCAGTTGTGAGGATTATCGTTTTCTTTACACTGAGTTGTAATCTGTACTGAAGACTATAATCCTTGATCTTCATCAGCAAGTGCTTCAATTCCTCTTTACTTTCAGCAAGCAAGGTTGTGTCATCTGCATTTTGAAGGTTATTATAACCTTCCTCCAACCCTGATACCTCCAGTTCTGAGACTACTACCACACTGCAACTGACCCTAAGATTTATATCCTGGAACATTGTAAATCCTTATATTACAGAATTTGTTTCTTCTAATATCCCAATAGCAGTAAAATAAAAACTACTAATATTCATTGAACTGTTTTTTTTTCTTTTAAAATTTTGTTAAAATTTGCCACTCATGATGAATATAATTATTGCAGCTATATTATTTGAAAAAGTCAATATAAACTATGCTCATTGAACTATTTTTATGGTCTATGTCCTTTACATGCATTCATTAATGTAAGAAAAACCACAGTCTTAAGAGGTAGTGTCTATTACTGCTTCCCTTTGTCACATGGTGAAATCATGGCACAGTTTAACTGAGATTCTGTGGGTTGCACAGCTCTGGAGATAGGATTCAAACCCAGGTAGTTTGATTGAACAGCCTGTTTGTAAACAGTAGATAGTGTTAAAGAAGCAAAACATTCTTTGAGAAGTCCATTTTGACTTACCTTCTCATGTGCCAGCTAAGTGACTGGCTCTGGGTTATCCCCTTCCCTGCCTACGTATTTCAGTGTTCTACTCCAGCAATATCATGGATCACTATCCATCTTGTGGACTCTGATGCCATTTATGAGGGACTGAAACCTCTTTTAAAGTCATAATTTGGAAGCTCTGTAAGGGTTGCGAGGTGATTGTTTGGCATGAGAGTAACTGTCCAGTAAATTCTAATTCTAATTTTTTCATCTTACATATTGGAGATTATGTGAAAAAACTTTTTTTCCTATTTGAGATAGATTTATGAGAGCCACGGGGAAATAAAGAATGCTCAATATTTAAAAGACATCTGCATATCTAGTTCAGCAATTCTATGTTGAAAAGGATTTTTGGACTTCCAACATTTTTTTCTTTATGGAAAGATAATAACCTTTAAGTCTAAATTACTTTAACTGTGAGATTGCATTTTAAAATTTAATTAGGCGTGTCAGATCACATTTTGAATTGTAATTAAGCATGTCCTAAGTTAAGTGGTAAAAGAGAACTGTTTCAGTAATTGTGCAGAGGCTCAACACACAAACAGATAAAATGAAAATCATTTGACCTTAGTAACTGATATCTATTAGAATCATACTCTTCAAATTTATTAATGCACTTGAAATATTAGTAGTGTGCTTTGGTTAGAATAGCAAGAAGACAAAGAATCATCCTTGAGTAATTTATTAAATGGAAGTTTAGAGAATGATTGTCCATTGTTATATGTGATTATGTGGTATCAGTTCTCCACCTTAGTTGTATTGAGCAAGGAAGACTAGAAATAGTAAAAGGAATCTTTTTACTCAGAATTATTAAAGCTAACCTTCTCTAAGAAGACAGTAAGTGTTCTTCAAACAAGGGACTCATGAAAGCCTCAGGATTTTACACATATAGCGTGATGATGATATTGGTCAAATGCTGTTTTGAAAATTAGAAATGTAAAAAATACTTGTCCAATAATCAGCATATGTTATAGAATTTAAAAAAAATTACTTACATTTTATTTAACTGGAATATGCACTAGGGAAAGCATTCATAGAGTAGAAAATTTAGGGCACATTACTTTATCAGTTCAGTTTTTGTTAGATTACAGTGACCTATGATAATAGGTTTATTTCTTTGATGGCAGAGGGAAAAAGCAGAACCACACAGTGACTCTTTGAAGCTTTTGCTTAGAAGGGGCATACATGACTTCCACTCACTGGTATATGGTGGAGCCAAATGTTAATGGGACAGGTTTTTGCAATATTAATAAGTGCATAGAATAAATGGGAATAATGCAGTTTGTGGCCATTCTATTCAGATTGTAGATAATTGCTATAATAATTATGAAACAAATAACTGAAATCTACATTAACCTTAAATACTTTTGTTGTTGAGTGATACCAGTTTGGTTCTGAGTCATTGTTATTCCACATACAGCATAATGAAGTTCTGCCTGGTATTTGTACCATCCTCACAGTTGTTATATTTCCACCCTGTATTGCAGCTACTCTGTCAGTTCATCTCAGTGAGTGATGTCTTCAATTTTTTGCCAAGCATAAGATCATTCTCTAGGCTGGTCTCTCCAGATAACATGTCCAAAATAGATGAATTGGAATCTCACCATCCTTGCACATAAAGACATACTTTTGATACTGTGCTTCTTCCAAGACAGCTTTGTTTGTTCTTTGGAAGTCTGCGCTACTTTTTATATTCTCCAGTATCATGATTTAAATGCACTGATTATTCTCTCATCTTCCTTTTCCATATACAGTATATGTATTATATTTATATTTAGTATTTCATTCTTGATGAAAGTTTTCACAACACACTAGATTTCCATGTAACAATTCACACTCTTGTTACATTTTTTGCGGTGTTACCTTTCTCCTTCATAGCTTTCTAGTTGGTCCATTTTCCGTGACTCTAGTCTCCCTTCTCTTCTCTTTCCATTTCTGCTACAGAGTAATTGTTCATATTTTGTTCCATATTATTGTTGTTCGTTGCCATCGGTTTGGCTCCAACCCATTGCGACCGTAGGCACAACAGAATGAAACCTACCTGGTCCTGGCACCATCCTCACAATTGTTTATATGCTTGAGCTCATTGTTGCAGCCACTGTGTCAATCCATCTCCTTGTGGGCCTTCCTCTTTTTTACTGCCCCTCCACTTTACCCATCACCATGCCCTTCTCCTAGGACTGAGCTCTCTTGACAACATGTCCAAAGTACGTAAGAAAACGTTTTGCTATCCTTATTTTTAAGGAGCACCCTGGCTCAACCTCTTCCAATACAGATTTGTTTGTTCTTTTGGCATTCGATGGAACTTTCAGTATCTTTCTCCAGCACCACAATCCAGATGCACCGATTCTTTTTGGTCTCCCTTATTCAGTGGCGACTTTGACATGCATACGAGGCAATGGAAAATACCATGGCTTGGGTCAGATGCAACTTAGTCCTCAAAGTAACATTTTAGTATTTCAAGACTTTAAAGAGATCTTGTGAAACAGATTCACCTACGCCAACTCGTCCTTTGATCTGTTAACTACTGCTGCTAAGAGCAGTGATTGTGGATCCGAGCAGGACAAAATCCGTGACAGCTTCAGTCTTTTCTCCATTTAGGAACCCTGGGGGCATAATGCTGACTCTGCTCGGCTATTCACAGAGTCAGCAGTTCAAAATCACAGGCCCTTTGGAGAAAGACTAGGCCTTCTATTCCCATAAAGAGTTATAGTCTCAGAAACTCAGGGGTAGTTCCACTCTGTGGTATAGGGTCACTATAAGTTGGCATTGACTCGATGGCAGTGAGTTTTTTGGTCCGCCCCCCCCCACCATTAGTCTAGTTGTGAGGATTTTGCCTTCTTTAAATTGAGTTGTCATCCGCACTGAATGCTGCAATCCTTGATCTTCATCAGCAAGTGCTTCAAGTCCTCCTCATATCCCATAGAGCTATTTTTGTAATGGAGGACCATACTCGTGGATATTTCATGTCACACTAATTTGCTATTTTGATAAAATTTTGCTTTAAGGCTTAATTTAAATAATGTCTTAGGGCAGGTTTTTAGGTCATCCTCTCATCTTAATTTGTTTAGTAAATATGGACTTTTAAAGAATTTTACTTTGGCTCCATATTTTTATTACATTTCGTCAGGGCCATCTTTTGTGGCCCTTATCAGAACTGACAGTAGAGACAGCCAGGCACCACTGAGTTCTTCTACCCTCATGGTGGATGAGATGATGACTTGTGTTGGGTATTAGCCTGAGATGTTTGTTTTCTTCCTTCTCGTTTGCTTGTCAGAAGTACAGCAAGTCCCCTTTCGTGAACATCCAGGGTAGGGCTCATGGACACTTCTTTCATGCTAGCTACATTGCCCTCACTTTGAAAGTGATTGAACCAGCTCCTAGCGAAACGCAGTCTTCATCCCGGTCACTTTCACCTGCTCTATGTTCAGCTTTGAAATCATTAAAGAGGTGTCAAGCCTTTATTTACATTAAAGTACACTAAATATGGGCCATAATCACCTGTTCCTCCAGACCTACAGATTTGACTTACAGACACACGTAAGACTAGATCTTGCTCACGACTGGAGACTGCCTGTAGAAACCAGTGACTGTGTCTTAGATGGTCTCTCACGCACTCTTAAGATAGCAGGTGCTGCTCCTCATTAGGACACAGAATATCAACTTTTTGATGCCAGTTGACTGGATTGCATCGTGATACATTTATGTTTCATGGTATAGATCACAGCAAGATTGTCATAGTAGCAGCAGTATGATTGTCTATGTTAAATTTTAGAAATGAAGCCTTTAGGAATGGAGAAATATGCATGTAATTTATTCTCAAAATGATTTAAAAAACAGCAAGAACAGACACACACACACACACACACACACACACACACACCACCTCCAAAGGGACTTCCAAATTTGTGGAAAATTTTCTTTGTCTTTTAGTTACATTTTGCCATGAACTTTTGAAGTCTCCGTGTGTGTGTGTGTGTGTGTGTGTGTGTGTGTGTGTGTGCGCATCCACTGATGTTTTCAGCTGTACTTTTGGCTTTGTTTCCCGCACACATAGTCTGGATTAGGCTGAGAATTTTCTAAACCAGCAAATGCTGATTTTTTTTTTTATTCAGCAGGTTGTTAATTGATGTCTTTCTTCTTGCCTTTTATTATAAGCACCAAGAAGAAGCCAGGCGGTCTTTGTAGTGCTCTGCTTGGAAAATTGCTCAGCTGAATATCCATGTTCATCACTTATAAGTCCTATAAGTGGAACATAATGCAGCTAGTTCTCTGCCACTGTTCATTTTGTGTGGTGCCATAAATTAGGAAGATTCTCACATGACGTCCTTGGTTAAAAGGTACATGCCTATACTATGTTTCCCTTTTGTAGTGCGACTGTTCTCCGATCGAATTGGCCTCATCAAAGAGTGTATTGCCCAGTCTCCAACATGCTACAAACAATCAGCCAAACTCCTGGGCCTTGCTGAGTTGCTGAGGGTAGCAGGTAAGCCCTTTGAAGGATCAGCTGCAGTTTTCTGTGCTCTTCGTCACAGCATCCTACGTAAACTCTAAATCTGTGCAGTGTGTCCAGAGAGGAGCCTTGTCGGAGCAGGGCCCTTCCATTTACACTAGAAAGAAGCCCGCCTGAGCAGTTCACACTGTGCCTACCTTTGCTTTGCTTTCAATTGAGCAATTGGTTAGAAAGCTTTGTGTCTACTATTTTTTGCATTTTTCAGGTTACGTATTTCATGATATCATGAATGGCTATGATGATAGTGTTCATTCTATTTTATGAGGGAAGGTGAGGATCAGAGAAGTTAAATATCTGTCTTGCATAGTAGACCATAGCTTTTAAGGAAAATCTGTTTTATGTTTCCTTAACCACACAATGTCTGTGATAAAACTCTCGTTCAGTGCCCAGCCTCCACCCCCGCTGTACTGCACCTCAGCTATTTGACCATGTCATAGTTTTGTACTTTTTTGACTAAGCATATCTCTATAAGAACAGTTGTTGGCCATTTGTTCAACAAGTACCAGGTTGGAGTTAATATCTTAGTTACATATTCTAGACTAAAAATCATAAAAGATTTATGGGCATATTTAAAGCTCTTAAGATTTTATTTATATATACTAGACACATTAATGTTTAAATTTTTAAAATATAGAACTCTTAAAGTCTCTGCATTTTAGCATTTTTAATATGTCTGCTGTTTTCTAGTCTGTCTGAACACAGCATTCAGACCTGTGCCTCTGGGTTTGTGGTCGATTGTGTAAGGTGACAGTATGGAATGTTGGGACCAGTCATTCATGATGCAGCATCGTGGATGAGCGGAAGAACACTGACGTCAGAGTAAGAAGCCGGGCTCCAGGCCTGACTCTGCCCAGGACTTTGACGAAGTTCCCTTAGCTCTAGTTTCTGCCTCTGGGAAATAGAGCTTCACGAGACTGAAATAACCCAACGCAAAGAATATTCTTTAGAAAAGCATATTTTAAACTCTAAAACTACTCTGATTGTTGGGGAAGGACATCGTGAAATGTATTTTGGGGAGGCTCTTGAAGTAAATAACTCAGAGATGCCCTTATGGATTGTACCATGTGCCTCCCAAAATATGTTTAAATAAATGCGTGAGAAGAGTCTTATGATCATTAGCCAGTAGAGAAATAAAAATCAAAACAACAGTGAGCTATTATCTCACCCTGTAGAAAGTGTGAGAAGATTGGAATTCTCCAGAACATGACTGGTGGGATTGTAATATGATACAACCACAGTGGAAAATAATATGGTGCTTGCTTTATATAGAGATATAGCATATGATCCAACAATCTCATTACCAGGTATATATCCTACAGAAATAAAACCTATGACATCAATAGATAAGTATACAGCTGTGCTCATCCCAGCATAATCCCAATAGTAAAACGATGAAAACCACCTAAGGACCCATCAGTAGATGAATGGATAAATAATTATGGGTCACACACCATAGAATACTCCCCGGCCTTAAAGAGTAACAGTAAATGGTGAAGCATCTCACAACATGGATGAACCCGGAGGACATTATGCTGATGAAATAAGTCAGTCACAAAAGTCCAGATATTGTATGAAATTGCTATTCTAAAAATTGGTGATGGGTGACTTAGCAAATCTGAAATTTATAGCTTATTCCCTCTTGGTCTCAAGGGAAGAGCAGGAGCTAGGTGGAGCTCTATGGAATTTCTCTGATACTTTAGCCCTGGCTTCTAAGGGCTCTGTCTGATTCAGTCAGCCCTACACAGATTACCAGGATAAACTCTCTTACCTAAGGTGTAGTATTAAATTAAAAAATAATGACGCAGAGGGAGGTGGGGAGCCAGCCCCCACCCGCTGCTACTCCTATAGTTCAGTAATACTACTTCAGGTTTCAGTAATGCACAATTGTACGGTTGAGATATATAAGTATTATATTAAAGTCATTGAGAGCATGAGAGATAATACAATAATACAGTCAGACATGTTACATGGCAACATTGCTCACCTCAGCCCAGCTTAGTGGTCCACGTGGAGAGAAGGGGAAGGGAAGGAGGGAAAAGGAACAAGGGAGAGGGGGAAGAGAGTCAGGGAGGTCAGAGTCCGAGAAGTCCCCGCCTATATTGCTGACCCATGCCTATATACCTTTTGGGGGCAAGCCAGCCCACTAATTACAGGTAGAGACATACGTCACAGGGAGGGGCTGCACTATAGGTTACACAGTAATGAGGGGATGGTCTAGGGGGTGGTCTCTGGGTCTCCATAGGAACCCTTATCAGTAGGGTGCAAACCCCTCCTACAGGAGCCAAGCTAATGGCCCCAAGCTTCAGAGAGAAGTAGTCCATTGTCTCCAGCAGCAGGGACCAGGCCCACCCCTGTGGTAGGATGAGACAGCAGTCTGGCAGCAAGTATCTGACTTCCCCCCACACTAAGTCAGCTGATTAAGGCCTTTAATTGCATTTATAAAATACCTTCACAGCAACACATAGGTTAGCATTAAAAAATCAAAAAGTGTTATTGGCATATAATTCACATATCATTCCATGTAGTGGCTCAGCCGCATCAAGACGAGTAGCACAGCCATCGCCGTAACACATTTTAGAACGGTTGCTTGGTTCGCGTAGTTAGTGTTGTTCGCCCGCCGTTCCCCTGCCATACCCACAAGGAGCCCTGAAGCCGGCTGGCCGCTGGCTCCATGGATTTCCCCATTCTGGATGGCATTTGCAGACAGACACTAAGGAGGAAGCAAAAGCAACGTAAAGCATCAATCAAAAAGAGAAGAAAATATTATAAACTAGGACGAATTCAAAATGGATCAAAAGGGAGATCAAATGCTAAACTGTTAAATTTTAACCTAACTTGCATCTGCAATAATTTACTTTCTCAAGTTAGCATTTAAATGGAATAACTGAGGACTGTTAGTCTCTAGGTTGCCACATTAAAAGAAAAAAGGAAATTAACACCTAGACCGTTTCCTATTCTGAATAAATGCAAACATTTCAAGAAGGTTGTGTTGGAGATAAGTTTCATATTACTTTGGCATGTGCATTTATTCTTGGAAAGCATTTATGTATTGTTTCATTTCTTCTTACGTGTCTGTTCCTAAAACATCAAGTGTTTTTAATGTTATACCATTTCTTTTCGTTAGAACTTCTTTAGACTCAGTCGGACCAGTAATTGCTTTGTATTTCATCTAAAATTTTGAAATTTGGAAAGAAGATCCCTGGGGACATGTCATAGATACTTAATTCAACATTTTCTGTGATATGTTTATTTTTCTCTCTAGACTTACTAAACCTTTTCCTCCACACTGCAACTTACCCCTTTTCAAGGAAATACGGAAAACATTTGCAAGGTTTTATTACCTCATTAAAATAAAAACATTTTTACTTTTCTCTTTTTTGCTTAAAATTTCAAATTGGACTTCTATTGTAACTTTGAATGATTCTTAATTGACAATTACATTCTTTATTGATTATATACCTGCTTCCTTGAGGAAACATTTTTGAGGCCTTATTAAGTGTCCGAGGACCCCTGGTGGCAAAATGAGTTCCACTTGGGCCGTTAACCACAAGGTCATTGAGTCAAAACCACCAAGAGGTCTGGGAAAAAGACAGAGCCTTTCCCGTAGAGAGTTACAGCCTTGAACACCCACAGGAGCAAGTGCACCCTGCCCTTCAGGATTGCTGTTAGTGGGTTGACTGGGTGGCAATGAGTGCTATTATGTGCGTGGCTCGGTGTACTTGGTACCGAGAATTCCACAATGAATTACACTGCCCTCAAAGCGCCTAAATGCTGCTGGAAGAGGTAGACTATAAGAAAGATAATGATAATTAATTCTTATTAATAGATTTAAACCTAAAGCAACATGTCAAACGGTATCCAAATCATGTATTTCATCTGATGAGGGTGTGGAAATGTCCAAGAATGAGTGACAGCTAAGAGGTGGCCTCTTACATGTCTTTTTGGAAAAATAAGATCTTTCTGTTACAATAGCTGAATTTTGGTGTGTATGTGTAGAATCTATACATGTCCTATGGTAAATAAGCTACGTGTACAATCAGTGAAAGTATAAATTTATATTCATTTTATTTTGGGTTTAAGATTTTCTTCACCTCTTTCCTTGATCATGGATTGTCTATTTGTGGTTACAGAAAAACTTGCCAGGGGCCAGGGTGTAAAGAAAATACCGCCAATCTATCTAAATTACCAAACTCAGAAATGAAACTTCTCTGAGTTACTTTTAGGAGATTTCATAGACTTATTTACCATCTAGTACATTAACATGCAAATAGGTTCATTTAGGATATAGGAAAGGAAACAGTACTGTCCATCACTGAATGTTTTAATTGGACACACCCAAAATAAATGTGTGTTCATTTATAAGAAGGTACTTAAAGTAAGAAAATGCATCCTTCATTTGTTGCTACTGGTACTTCTTTTTATTCTGTTCACATTTAAAGAGAATAAAAGGGGGGAAAGGCAATTTGTTCATTGTAGTGTTATAGTGGGTCTGTTTACAAAGGTAAATCTGTATAAGGCTTAGTGTAGATAAGATGAAAATACATTCTTTCATTGCCAATCTGGCTAAGCACAAATCTGAATAGTTCAGATCCATGGTGCTCAGGACAGCACTTATATTGGAGACTGTACATCCTAGTTGAATTAATAAAATGAGAAATATTGCTTCATTAATTTCATTCAGTCACTTATTCTGTTGTTCAGTGTTTTGAGGTCTTTATTACGTGCTTTCTTTTGTGTACATGGATTTATTTCCCTTCCGTTCCTTTAATAAGGAGAAAATCGAGGCCTTCTGTTCTTGTAAAGATTGACAGTTTCGGACCCCCCAGGGGCAGTTGTAACCTACCCTGTAGATTGTACAGTCAGCGTCAACTCCATGGCAGTGCATTTGGTTTGGTGTTAATCTCAGTAATACCAAGAGTCCTCTTTAGGCTGGCAAACAAACAAAACAAAACACCAAACCCACTACTCTGGAATCTATGCAAACTCATAGTGACCCTATAGGACAGGGTAGAACTGCCCCTGTGAGTTTCAGAGACTATCTCTTTATAGAAGTAGAAAGCTCCACCTTTCTCCCACAGAGTGGCTGGTGGTTTGAAACTGCTTCTCTTGCAGTTAGCAGCCCATCATGTAACCACTATGCCACCAGGGCTCCCTCTAGGTTGGCAGACTAATCTTGAAATTTCTGATTTGATGAACATTGTTTTAATTAGAAATTGATATCAATCAGTGTTCCCATAGGGGGCTTTTGTCTCAATAGATGGGAGTCATGACACACCGTTGTATAAGTGGTCAACTGCTTATTCACAGGTCAGTGGTTCAAATCCACCAGCTGCTCTGTTGGAGAAAGATGAGGCTATATGCTCCCATCAAAATTCACAGCCTTGGAAACCCTTATGTAGAATGATTATGACATTGAAACAGCTCAAATCCAATCTGTTTCAGTTTTGAATTAATTTGAAAGATTCGTTCTTTCATGAGTTTATGCCACCATGATTATTAAACCATTTGCATGTGTTTACAGGTGAGGACTCAGAAGAAAGACGAGGACAGGTTCTAATACTTTTAGTAGAGCAAGCACTTCGTTTCCAGGACTACAAAGCAGCCAATATGCATTGTCAGGAGCTGATGGCTACAGGTGAAGCGGACTACTTTTTAACACTTTCCTCAGGCCCTCTTTACGTGATGCATAATGGAAAAGCTCTCTTTTGAAATCTGTCCTGATTGGTAAACCAGACACATTTAATTTTGATGAGCAACTGATAAGTCGGTATGCCATATGCTTATATTTAATATAAATACTTCATTCAGTTTAGGGGCTGTGGTGTATCTGACACTTTGTTGTCCTTATTCCCTTTTGACACCATGCTTACAATTTTAAGAATTTTTTATGTGAAATATTTAATGCCATTTCATGCCACTTCATGTATTTTCTCTATACAAGAAAAAAAGTATGTATTTACATTTTATGACTGTATATTCAATTATTTCCGTTCTTTAACTTTTCCCCTAGGTAATATAGCACTTTTCAAACTAATGTTGAGCAAATAGGTATTAAACAAACTTAAATTTTTCCATTTCAATGTTTAAATTCAGGATTCTGTAGAAGATGTAGAGTTATGATATGAGTTATTGTTTATTATGCAGGGCCTTTTCAAGGGAGTCCCTTCTGTGTGTGTGCTGGAGTATAGGACACCACAGCATCTTGCCCCTTGCTGTCTGTAGTATGCCAGTGAGTGGTTCAAAACTCCATGCTTCCCTGCATGACAGAAGCTGGAAAAAATAAAAACATCCATCTTCTAAACTCCAGAATTTGGAAATGGTTTTCATAAAAGATCTGTGTTCTATAATATTAACCAACTGATTTTGCCGTATTACACGAGGGGGCTCCAAAATCTTTTCGGAAATTTCCCATTATCTTTTAACTCCCCTTTGTCTTGGACCTTGTGAAGCTCCCTTGATCCAGAATTATTTATTTGTGTATTACCTAGCTCTGTACAAATGTTATTCCTTTAAGTGTAGTGCCTGGGTTAATTGTTACATTATATATTTGAGGAAATTTTTCTGCCACGGGCTTTCCCACATAGGTGGGGCAAAGGAAGACTGTCCTCTTCTGGAACCCCTTCTAGTAAGAAGGAGAGGCCACTGTAAGAGCTCTGAGTGCAGCATGGTGTAAGCAAACCAGTCTCTGCTAGTTCTGCCACCCTGCCCTGGAGCTTTGCTCATCTTCGGTAAATGGAGTTATTCTGTGTCAATTTTGACAATAATTGATCTTTAGCATTTTTTAGTTTAAAAAGTGATTTAAACACAAATGTTATTTAATCCCTTTGCAGTGAGCATGACAGTGTTATTCTTCTTTGGCATTAGTGAGTCACACATGATACTTAGACTTTCTTAAAGTCACAGTAGTGCTATGTAGCAGGAGCGGGCTAGAGTGCAGGGCTTTGTAATTCAGGTAGATAGCTTTTATTCAGTATTAGAACGCCATAGAGTATTTATAGTCAATGTCGGTCTGAAATTTAACAAACTCTCTAAAAAAAACTTGTGTAGAGTAGCACAACATTCTGGGTAATGAACCAACATAATCTTTCTTTCCTTTCTTCAGATTCATGCGGTTTTCTGTTGGTATGATGTGTGTCAACTGGAGACTCAGGTTTTGCTTTGGTAGCCCAGGATGCAAAGATTAATCCATTGCCTTTCTCATCTTACATCTTTGGAGTTTCCTCTGGAAATTAGTGTTTCATCTTGCCATTTTCCGCAGGTTTTTCTAAAAGTTGGGATGTGTGTAGCCAGTTAGGACAATCAGAAGGCTACCAGGATGTGCTTACTCGTCAGGAGCTCATGGCTTTTGCTTTGACACATTGCCCTCCGACCAGCATTGAAGGTCTTTTGGCAGCTAGCAGCTCTCTGCAAACAGAAGTGAGTCTTCTCAATAAAATAAGTTCTGAATTGTATTGTACTGGGCAGGTGGATCCAAGATACATGGACATATGTGTTTGTGTGTATATGTACTATAATGTGAGGATTTCAATTTTGGAAAAAATTGTCTAGCACATATGTGAAAAGAGTTTGATGACATCAGGATATAGTATTGTTGGGTACCATTTATAGAGATAGCAGGATTGAAGGCAGGTCAGAGGGAAATGAAAAGTAGTATCAGGAAATAAATTACTGAGTATAATAGAGACTTTAGTGTTGACAAGATAAAACATAAAAGAAATCATCATGTGAAATCTCTATCTATCTATGGTTTTCCCTTAGGGAGGCATTTGGAAATGGAGGTAAGGTTTGGTTACATGAATTCTAAATTTCCTGAAATGCACAGGATTGGAGATCTGTACTATTGAATGCCCTTGCTGAGAAACTCGCCAAGATAAATGCATGGATTTTTTAATTTGCATTTTCATCTTAATAGTCATTTATTACTCTCTATAGAAGACCTTTCACAGTTTATTCCCCCTTCTGAAACTGTTGTGTCTTTGTGCGGCCCCTGACAGAAGTCCTGATGTTAGCGTTTAGCAGCAGTTGTTCATTCCGATGCAGCAATTTCCTTCCTAAAAAGTATTTTCTTAGCTTCAAGCTTTCCGTGTGAAGAGAGGCACATTTAAAAGCCCAACTCCTTTGCCGCCAAGATATAAGATGCCTCATTCTTGTTTCAGATTCTTTACCAAAGAGTGAATTTCCAGATTCATGCAGAAGGAGACAGAAATATCAGCATTGCACCATTAATTAGCAAAGCCCTGCCGGAGGTGAGTCGTGAGGAGGGAGAGGGGGAAAGATCCACAGGTGGGTGTGGCTGGAGTGCAGCCGGGTTGTGTCTCCCCTTAGGTATGAGAGTGGGTTTCATTGTTTACTTATGGAGACTGCTTTCCTTTTCAACCCTCAACTTACCTGTTTATTTTCTTCAACTTTTCAACATTCATGTGTAAAAGAGCACAAACTAAATATGTTCAGTTTACTAAATTATCCCAAAGGGAATACCAGTATAGCTCCTGGCCAAGGAATAGTACATTGGCCAACCTTTGGCAATTCCCCCTTTGTTCACCCAATTTCATTCCCAACCCTTTTTTCTTCTCATTGAGATGGCCATTGACTCAACTAAGGCTGGTTCTCACAGTGTCTTTTGCCTTTACCCACCGTGGAACTATCCGGTTACCTTCCTCTTTTATAACAAAATTTAATATGACAAGCATATTGAATACAATGTGTGCTCCTAGTTTAGTGATAATGGATCTGACGAGTCCAAGGAAATTAGGAAAGACTTTTTGGTCTTAAGCATGTTTTTTCTCCTTCTCCTTTAATTGTGACTCTAGGACAGCACCGACCGATAGATTTTTCTGAAGTGATAGGTGTCTTCTGTCATTCTGCTGTCCAGTAGAGTAGCCTTTACATTAATGTGCTTTTTGAGCACTTGGAATATGCCTTGCACAACTAAGTAATTGAATTTTAAATTTTGGTTAATTTAACTTTAAATGACCACCGAAGGCTAGTCACTACCAGATGGGACGTGTCCAGCTATAGAGAGAGCAGGCCTTCAGTGGAGTGTGCTTCCATTAACTGTAAAGGCAGTGGGCGTTTGGGGTCCACTCCTTTCATAGAAGCCCTAGCAAGTCCCAGGAACGTAGAGTAGTGTAGATGCCTTTTAACCTTTGGCTTGTTTTGGTTTTTTTTGTCATTGTTACTACGTGGTTTTCTCTAGTAGGCTGTAAAAATGCATTAATTTTATGTCTCTTTTCCTACATGGGATTCAAAGGAATTCTTAACATTAGCCAATGTTTGCTAAATGCTCTATGGATTGAGATGTATTGGCAAATGTTATCATCTTGCAAAGTCCAACTGAAGACTTCCTTTTTTTTTTTTGAACCGTTTTATTGGCACTTCATTCACATGTGAAGACTAGCTTTTCTTGAGATCTTCATCCAAAGTCGAATATCTTTTGAAGCTCTGATCCCCCCCCACCGCCACTTGTCCAGCCACATATCCCATTCAGTGTTTCTCCAGTCTCTGCTCACGCTTTCCAACCGTGCTGTGTTGTAGCCATTGAACACATCACCGTTCTCTGAGAAGACTGGTTTACACCTCTGTTATGTAGACTTTTCTCTGCTTCTGTTGCCCCTCTTTTTTTGTGCTCTGGTAATCTTTCTTTCTCGGATTCCTTCTGAAGTATCATTTTCTTTGGAAACATTTTGCTGAGTCCTCTAAATTACTCCTTTCTCTATCTTCTTAAGCATTTACACATCATTCTGTTTCAAGATTTCTCTGTTATGGAGGTGTGTAGTGTATCTTGGCGCTCTCTCGTTAGAGTGTTGACCACAGAGGAAATGCCTAACAACTGTTTGTGAAGCTCACCTGGAAACCTCCACAGCATAATGATTAGACTGATGAGAAGGAATTACACTATAAATAAGGCTATTATTTTAGCCTTAAAATAAAGACTTTTCTATTTAACTCATATGTATGGGCTATATTGACTATTGTAAGTTATGGATCACGTCTTTGTTCAGTAAAGAATGGAAGCATTTTTTTCTGTTAACTCAGCTCGCAGCGTATTCTTGTTCCTCACCTTGCACCATAACATTTATAAACAGCTCTTGGTGCTTTTTGGGCTTCCTCTTTGTCCTTCTACAATGGATTGGAAATTGTCAGTCTGGTCCCGTGGCGACTTATTTGGAATTGACATATCATGTTCCCACACATCTCTTCAGTAGATGATGGAGACCACAGGCCATCCTCTACATGTTCCACATAGCAAAGAAATGGAATTCGTTTATAATGACACCCCCCCCTTTTTTTTTAACTCCTTAAAAGGTTTCTTGTCTTCCTTTGTCCTCCTGCAGAAAGTTGTCATAGATGTAGATCTCGGGAAGTGTGAATTCAAACATTCGGTGAACACATTATAGCTTTGATTTATGAAGAACATTTCAGAAGATTATAGCTACAATTATTGGATTAAAATGTAGTGCTTAGCTATAAGATGCTGTGTTACACATTAGCAGTAGATACAATAGCCACATTAAATTATAACTCATAAATGAGAACTGACTTTATGTGTTATCTGCTCAATACTCAAGACTTTCATTACTTCAGTTATAAAAATGATGATTTTTATTTATATATTCAAGCAAAGTATAGATGCAATTGCTATTCAATGATACTTGCATTAATAAAAGTTTGAAGATATTGCTATTGTTTCTATGAGCAGGAATTTTGTTTTTTTATAAGTAGAGAAAAATGCTAATTTGTGAACAAAGACCAAAATTATGTATTTCTAGTTTCTTATTAATGGTGGTTATTATGCTTTTTAGATGTACCAGTATTCCAACACTTAGGGTATATTAACATTTTGTTTAGTTATTATTAGTTATATCACTTAGTCAATGGTGTTTTCCCCTGATAAGTCTAATTAGAGTTAGAAGCGAGTTGTGTACAAAATTCCCATTAAAAAAGCATTTTTCTGTGGGAAAATTGCTGTAAGCATTTTAAGTGGCTACAGATATATATATATAACTAGACATATTTAGAATTTCAGCTTGGACTAGACATAAAGCTATTTTAAGTTTATAAAGGCTTCATTTAGAAATACTTAACTAAAAGTGTGTGCAATGATAGTTATATTTCTATATCACAGCCAATCTTTCCTTTACTCATTCTTCAGTTGATGTAATTTGAGTTGTTCCCAATATTTAGCTATTATTTCTTTGTATGAAAATATGTTCTCATTTCTATTGAGTATTTACCTAAAAATGGACTTTTTCATTGGTAAATTTATGTTTAAAAAATTAAAAAATTTACAACCTGTTTTCCAAAGTGCCTATCCTATTTTACATTTCCACTAGAAATAGATGAGTATGTAGTCTCTCCACTTATTTACGATATTAAAAAAATCTGTTTTATTTGCATTTAATTAATATATCATACAACTCAGTCATTTAATTCCATTAAAAAAGGATGGTGAAATCTGTTACTGTCTTTTTGAAAACTTTTTTTTATGGCCATTCTTGTGCAACAAGTGGTGTCTCATTAGGTTTGGGTTTGCATTTCTCCAATAATTAATGATGTTGAGAATCTTTTCATGTACTTAATAATCAATTTTACATCTTCTTTGGTAATATGGGTGTACAAATATTTTGTGTCCCTTCTCCCCCTTTTTTATACTTGGTTAGTTGTCTTCTCATTGTTGACCTCTACGATGCATTGAAAGCATTAGTCAAAAGCAAGGCTCCAGGAAATAACAGAACACCAAGTGAGAGATTTCAGCAAGCTGCTGATACGCTGGAAGCACTAGCTGGTCTATGCCAGGCAATTGGAAAGCCAGCTAGTTGGCCACCTGACTGGAAGAGATCTATATTTGTACCCATTCGAAAGAAAAGTTACCCATTGCCGTGCTCAAATTATAGAACAAATCCATTGATAAACATGTGCAAGTAAAATTTTGCTAATGATCATCCAGCAATGGTCGTAGTAGTACACTGGCAGAGAACTGGCAGAGGTTGGAGCTTATCTTAGAAGAGGACGTGGAACAAGGGGTATCGTTACTGATGAGGTCAGATGAGTTTTGGCTGAATCCAGCAGAGAATACCAGAAAGAAGTTTACTCGTGTTTCATTGACTAGAAGTAGGCATTTGCTTGTGTGGACCACAACAAACCATAGATAGTCTTGAGATGAACGGGAATTCAGGGACACTGCATTCCGCTCACTCAGAGCAATGCAAGAAGGGATTGCTGCATGGCTTAAAATCAGGAAAAGTGTACTTCAGGTTTGTCTTCTCACCATACTTTTCAATCTGTATGCTGAGCAAATCATCATAGAAGCTGAATTATATGAAGAATGCAGGGGACACATTCCACCTTGCCTGCAGAAAGTGAGGGGACATGAAGCGTTGACTGATGAACAGCCTTCATTATGGGTTACAAATCAATGTAAAGAAAACAAAAATTTTTACAACTAGACCAATAGATAGCATCTTGATAAATGGAGGAAAGTTTGAAGTTGTCAAGGATTTCTTCTTTGGAGCCACAATCTATGCTCCTGGAAGCGTTCCTCAAGAGATCAAAGGGTGCATTGTATTGGGTAAATCTGTGGAACGAGATCTATTTAAAATGTCGACTAGCGATGATGTTCTTTGAGGGTTAAGGTGTGCCTGACCTACATGTTGGGCTGCCAACAAAAGATGAACAGTTTGAAACAATCAGCTGCTGCACAGAAGAAAGATGGGGATTTTCACTTCCATAAAAGGTGACAGTCGCGGAAGGTCTCAGGAGGCAGCTCTAACCTGTCCTACAGGGTCGCTCTGAGTCAGAATAGACTCAGTGAGATACCTGGCCTTGAGACACCCAACCTTATAATTATTTCACATTCAAGGGGTGTTTTCCCAAATATGAACACTTATACATGACTCACCTTCTAAAATCGAAACTTTAACCTCTACGTGATTTCAGGGTAGGTAATGCTGATGGAGGAGACCTGGTAGCCAGTGGTAAAAATACGTGACTACTAACCAAGAGGTTGGCTGTTCAAGTCCACCAGCTGGTTTGCTCCTTAGGAGGAGGATGTGGCAGAGTCTGCTTCCATGCACATTTGCAGTCCTGGGAATGCTGTGGGTGGATCTACTCTGTCTTACAGGAGCTCTGTGAGTTGGCACTGTCCGCAAGGTGTGGTTTTATATTTTAAGGCCAAAGGTGTGGTTGTATATTTTAAGATGCAAAGAAGCGGATCGAGTCATACAGAATATGTCCATATGGTGTCTTG